ATGTAATATAGATTTTATTGATTACCTCCCTTGAAATGGGACAGAAATTACTTATGGTTTAGTTCTTATGTATACCTAATTATTGATTGAAAATTTAAATGTAATATGTTGAATATTGTAAAAACTAGAAAACCTGGTCATCAATAAGGATTGTTTTTGTTGCAAAATTAAAAAAATGCAAAGAATAAAAATAGATTAAACTTACAGTAAGTAGAGCTTAGTTTTTGGATTAATATTAAAATTACCTTTATGTGTTATAATAATAATAATAATAATACAATTATTTTGACTAGTCAAAGGAATATTACCCTTTGATCTGATATTAAGGTTTGATATAAATTGGAGAAGTAAGTACTAGTAAATATTGTTTTGTCAAAATTATCCACATGGCATCATTAGGATTAAATTGAGAATGGAAATGGGAATGTGGTAAAGAGACAACAACCCGACCGAAGAGCAGAAAAACAGCCGAAAGGCCACCAATGGGTCTTCAACACAGCCAGAAAATCCCACACCTGGAGGCGGGCTTCAGCTGGCCTCTAAACAAAAATGTGTACTAGTTCAGTGAAAATGGACATCATACTAAACTCCAAAACTTATAATTGACTAAAATTAAAAAACATACAAGACTAACAAAGGCCAGAGGCTCCTGACTTGGGACAGGTGCAAAAATGCAGCGGGGTTAAACATGTTTTGTGAGATCTCAAACACTCCCCCTATACCTCTAGCCAATGTAGAATAAACAAACACACAGCAATACACACAGTAAAACTCAGTTTAAAAGAAGTCTGAGTCTGATGTCAGAATAGGTAACAAATTAAAGACCTCAATTAAACTGATTGAAAGATTATGTCTTCATCATATGAAAATCAAGCACAATCCCTCCCGTTAGGGGTTTAGTATCATACCATAATAAAATATATCAGAAGAACATAACCGGTATCATGCCAACAACTGGTTTTAGAATAAATGTGTTTATTTCCGATGCAAAGACCATATGAGTGAATCAATTTTAATACCAAAATATGCAATCCTTAATGACTTGACAACAGTATCGTAACTATATCCCTTCTGAATAAGTCTGTTTAAAGGTTTGGTTAGCTTTTAAGGTGATCCTTATATCACAGTTGTATTTTAGAAGACAAATGAATCTACTAGGTATTAAGCTTCATTTAATGTACTTTTACGTCTTTAGTCATCTTTATTGTCTGATCAGTTGTCCTGGGGTATTTTTGAAAGTTCAAAAACACTAATAAAAATTCTAATAAAATATTTTGTGGAAGTGCAGACTTACAATTTCAGAGGTTGAAGATTCATTACCCTAGATAATACACACAAAAAAATTATGCATTTGTAAGATCCACTTGTAAAGTCGGTTGTCAAGTACTTTTAGTTCAAATTTTGTTATTTAAAACACACATACCCTGTTTTTATGACTCATTAGAAAGGTATTTCACTTGACCCATATCTTTCATTTTTATCATTAAAGGGGTCATTAAGTTTTACCCTTGTCCGTCTGTATGTCCGTTGATCCGTAAGTCCCGAAATTGGTTTCCATTCTCTAACTTTAGTTTGCCTCAACCAAATGTTATGAATTTTATACACAATGCTTATTACCACAAAACACAGATCAAGTGTGAATTTTGGTGGCGTCACTTTTACCGTTCTAGAGTTATGCCCCTTTACAAATGAAAAAAATTACTGAATATTTCGTTTCTGTTCTCTAACTTAAATTTGCCTTAACCAAATGTTATGAAACTTATACACAATGCTTATTACTACAAAACTCAAATTAAATACGAATTTGGATAGCGTCACTTTTACCATTATTGAGTAATGTCCATTTATAAAGTTGTATGCAAGCAGGGGCATCATCTGTGTCCCATGGACACATTCCCCATTTATTTAGTACTTTGAGTTTTTAATGTTATTATATCAACCTGTATCCTAAACATGTAAAAATAATAGAATCTGAAGCGAGAAGATGTATCAAATATTTTTGCTTTATACGTTTTCAAGACAAAATAGTCAACTCGAACATGCCTGAACATAAAAAGGTGTACACGGCTTTCTCTTTTTGATGAAATAATTGCCCATATTTAGCTCACCTGGCCTAAAAGGTTAAGTGAGCTTTTTCATCACTTGGTGTCTGTCGTTTTTCGTTGTCGTCGACTGCTAACTTTACAAAATCTTCTTTTCTGAAATAGTTGGGCCAAATTTAATCAAAGTTGGCCACAATCATCATTGGGGTATCTAGTTTAAAAAATGTATCCAATGACCCTGCTAGTCAACCAAGATGGCTGACATGGCTAAAAATAGAACGTAGGGGTAAAATGCAAGTTTTGCCTATTATTTTGAAAACCACTATGAATGTGAAAATCTGACAATGGCAAAAATTTTCAGAATGTTGAGCTCTACCTATTGTTCATTCACATCAAAACTGTCAGACGACTTCTTGTAGGAGTTATTGCCCTTAGATGATGAATTTTACCATTTTTTAAAATGTTTGCCTATTATCTGGAAAATTATAATAGATAAACAGAATCTTTAAAAAGCAAAAATGATCAGCAAGACAAGATCTACAAATAAGTCAAACATGGATGAAATCTTTAGTCGATTCCTTATTAGAGTGATTGGCCTAAAAAGACGATTTTTTTTTTACGTTTTTGCCTAATATCTTAAAAACTATATTAGATAGATAGAAACTTTAAATAGCAAAAATTGTCAGCAAGACAAGATCTCCATATAAGTCAACATGACTGAAATTGTTAGTTGAATCCTTATTGAAGTATTTTCCCTTTAATGATGATTTTCCCCATTTTTGCCTATTATCTTGAAAACTGTAATAGATAGATAGAAACTTTAAATAGCACAAATGATCAGCAAAACAAGATCCACAAATAAGCCATAATGACTGAAATCTTCAGTCGACTCATTATTGGAGTTATTGCCCTTTAATAATAATTTTTAACATCTTTTTGCATTTTTTTCATATTATCTAGAAAACTATGATAGATAAATAGAAACTTTAAAAAGGATAAATTATCAGCTGGATAAGATCTATAAATATGATAACATGAATGAAATTGTTAGTTAGCTCTTAATAGAGTTATTCCCCTTTAATGATGATTTTTACTTAAAAGTAGCCATTGCTGAAGATACAGGTGAGCGACACAGTCTCTTTAGAACCTCTAGTTAGGATTTTTTCCCAAGACACTGTCGCTAGGGGCAGAGATGCTAGTTGAAATTTTTTTAGCGGAATTTAAGTTATGCACAAAAAAGGTCCACATGTATTTGCACCTACCACAATCGACTGTTTTGTAGAAAATTGTCTTTAATTTAAAAGTGTACAAATATCTCGAGGCTCCATGCTATAATTTAAGTAAAAACAGTATATAAGATGCATAAAATTCTAAATAATGCACCTACATTAAACTGTTAAATCCCATAGAAACAGATGTAAACAAATCAAATATACCAACTTAGCCTTTTTTTATCTTCTCTAATAAAGAGTTCCATTTCTTTTGTTTAATTTCAACTGGATATCAGCCTGCTAAGGTGTACTTTAACTCAAATATGTTTGATAGGTGTGGATATACTCTTTATCTGTATCAATGACATAAATACTGAATTGTTTGAGTTGTAACTATTTTCCTCAGATATACCACAGGTACATTACACTTCTGACAAAGTGAGAAAAAAAAATCAAACCTATCTTTGGAAGTGCGTTACAACCATTATTCATATTATTTTGGAACAATTGTATATTTCTGTTCAGGAAAAAGTTAAGTCCTGTATGATTGTGAAGAATAGGATATGAGTTTTTGTCGAGCCTGCGACTTTTGTCGCAGAAAGCTCGACATAGGGATAGTGATCCGGCGGCGGCGGCGTTAGCTAACTTCTTAAAAGCTTTATATTTTAGAAGGTGGAAGACCTGGATGCTTCATACTTTGTATATGGATGCCTCATGTTACGAAGTTTCCGTCAGTCACATGTCCAATGTCCTTGACCTCATTTTCATGGTTCAGTGACTACTTGAAAAAAAAGTTAACATTTTTTGTAATGTTAAATTCTCTCTTATTATAAGTAGTAGGATAACTATATTTGGTATGTGCGTACCTTGCAAGGTCCTCATGTCCGTCAGACAGTTTTCATTTGACCTCGACCTCATTTCATGGATCAGTGAACAAGGTTAAGTTTTGGTGGTCAAGTCCATATCTCAGATACTATTAGCAATAGGTCAAGTATATTCGGTGTATGGAAGGACTGTAAGGTGTACATGTCCAACTGGCAGGTGTCATCTGACCTTGACCTCATTTTCATGGTTCAGTGGTTATTGTTAAGTTTTTGTGTTTTGGTCTGTTTTTCATATACTGTATGCAATAGGTCTACTATATTTGGTGTATGGAATGATTGTAAGGTGTACATGTCTAGCTGGCAGGTGTCATTTGACCTTGACCTCATTTTCATGGTTCAGTGGTCAAAGTTAAGATTTTGAGTTTTGGTCTTTTTTTCTAATACTATATGCAATAGTTCAACTATATTTGGTGTATGGAAATATTTTATGATCTATATGTCAGTCGCGCAGGTTTTATTTGACCTTGACCTCATTTTCACAGTTCATTGGTCAGTGTTAAGTTTTTGTGTTTTGGTCTGTTTTTCTTGAACTATAAGCAATAGGTCAACTATATTTGTTGTATGGAAGAATTGTTAGCTGTACATGCCTGCCTGGCATGGTTCATCTGACCTTGACCTCATTTTCATGGTTCATTGGTCAATGTTTAGTTTTCTTGGTTAATGTTAAGTTTATGTGACAGTTGTAATAAAGCTTTTTATTTAGGACTATCAACATAATATCAGTGATTAGTTAAGAAGGCGAGACATTTCAGCGTGTGCACTCTTGTTTTAGTTTGCCAGGATACACTATAAAGAAGGAAACAAATTTGATCAAAGATGGAGGAAGATTTCTGTCTTATTCTAACTTTCCTTTTATTTTATAGTTTGCCTGGTTACCATTAGACAGAAAGACACCACCTAAAGAACCATTTTTGATTGGAGATGGATTTGATTTATATATAGATGGATGTAGATTTCTGCCTGATTCTGTCACTTTCTCAAAAGTAAGTAGAGATAAAACAAAGACTAATTCATTGTGTTAAACAATATGTATCCCATTAGTACAAAACACATTTCTGCATCTTTGTAAACCTAAGCTATTACTTTATTATACCCCACGCAACGTCTGTCCGTTTGTCCGTCAGTCCTGTTTCTTGTCATCGCAACATCTCTCAAACCACACAACAGAATTTCACGAAACCTTTTTAGATAATAAGGACATACTATGTAGTTGTGCATATCGACAGGAAATTACGATTCAATTCTTTTTCTAGGAGTTACGCCCCTTTGAACTTATTTACTTTAATGTACTACTGCAACAGTTTGTCATCGCATTTTATGATTCAATTTTTTTTTCTGATACAATTTTTTTTTCTTACACTTATTTTATTTCTCCAATGACAATGTGGGGACGTCATTCAATAAATCATTATGCTTATTTGTTTTTTGTCTCGCCTTGATGGAGTCAAAAAGCGAGACATAGGAATGCTGTTTCTGGCGTCAGCAACGGCGGCGTCAACAATGTATTAGTTTGTGATTAGGTCTAGTTCATGGTGAACCACTATTGGTAGGTCAATGATATTTGGTATGCAGTTGTATTAGCATTGGCACATCTCATTACCATGGAGATTATTTGGCCCCGCCCCCTCAGTCAAGGTCTATTGACTATGAAACTTTGCTTAGTTTACATGTATTAGTTTGTGATTAGGTCAGTTTATGGGGAACCACTAGTGGTAGGTCAATGATATTTGGTGTGCAGTAGTATAAGCATTGGCATATCTCAGTTCCATGGAGATTATTTGGCCCTGCCCCCTCATTCATGGTCTATTGAGTTTGAAACTTTTGCTTAGTTTTCATGTTTTAGTTTGTGAAAAGGTCAGTTTAAGGGGAACCATTAGTGGTAGGTCAATGATAATTGGTATGCAGTTGTATAAGTATTAGCACATCTCATTTCCATGGAGAATATTTGGTCCCTACCCCTCAGTCATGGTCTATTGACTTTGAAACTTTTGCTTAGTTTACATGTATTAGTTTGTGATTAGTTCAATTTAAGATGAACCACTAATGTTAAGTCAATGATATTCGGTATGCAAATGTATTGGCATTTGCAAGTTTCATTTCCATGGAGATTATATAACCCCACCCCCTAATTATGGTTCATTGACTTTGAAACTTTTACATAGTTTACAAGTTAATGTTTGAGTTTAGGTTTGTTTAAAGGGAACGACTTATGAAAAGGTAATGGTATTTGGTTTGCAGTTGTATTAGCATTGGCACATCTCATTTCCATGGAGATTGTTTAGCCCTGTACCTTCAGTCATGGTTCATTGACTTTGAATATTTGCATAACTTACATGTTAAAGTATTGCTATTTTAATTTCAACATTTGCATTATCAAAATAACAAATATGCGAGACATATCTCTGTGTTAACAGTTTATTTTACTGTAGGGTGCATTAAAATATACACCTATTGACTGGGTGTGAGGGTAATAGCAAGTTTGTTGTCCCTGAGATACCAACTATTGCTCGAGGCAAAGCCGAGAGCAATAGTTGGTTAAGGAAGGGACTACAAACTTGCTATTACCCGCACAACCAGTCATTAGGTGTTTTATTATACTGAACAACACAGTCATTAAGTGTTTTTATATACCAAATTAACTAATTTTCTAAAAGTGTACATATATCATCTGAAAGAAAAGAAAAAATGTCACATAACTTGACATGCACAAGATGAACTATACGTTTTTTTTTATAGTTCTTCTTGTATTTGTAAATATTTCATTAATTGCAATCAAGACTAGAAATACTTGTGTTAAATTTTCCGTGCATATGATAAATTTAAGCTAAAGTACACCAAACGCAAATTCGCTTTTAGAATACGACGACCGAACCCATATTATGAATAAGGTACTATATTTTAGATCTTTAAAAAATGCGCGCGAAGATTTTCTCTCTTTTATAATTGCTTCTTGTAAGTGAAATTACAATCGACACAAACAGACTATACCGTTTACAATATTAGAGTTTGACGTTGCCAAGCAAAATAGTCAATGACATCATTATTGTCCAATGAAAAATAAGCATGAAAAAGTACGGGAAAGATGATTATGAAACTATTAACCGGGGTAATAGTCTTTGAAACTATTGACTGGCAAATAGTCTGTGGAATGAAATAGCACAACTATTTCATTATTTTTTATATAGAAAAAACATACTGAGGTATAATAATAGGTGTTATATACTTTACTGAAGTTGCAGCCTTTAATTTTTATGGCAAACATACAAAATGAGTTAAACCAAGTACTATGAAATTAGTACCTATTTTGTTCTTGTTATGTAAACAGGATATCATTGAGTAGTTTAAAAAAAAAAAGAAATTAGAATGATTTTTTTATATTCAAGTATATTTGTAAATTGGAATTTGCTGAACTCTATGATCAACACATTTTGTGTTCAACAGAGCAGTTTGGTTAGACTTGAGCAAAAGAGAATGTATGATCAGGCCACTTTTTTGGCCCTTTGAATTTAAAAATTAAAAAAGTGTTAAAAATCATATCAATTAACATCCTTTAGTCTATCAGATATCCGTAGTTTTATTTGTGCATTGTGTATTATATATTTTCTTTAGGGCTTCAGACATTGAAACCGAACAGCTGCCAAAAAGAATAGCCAAATTTTAGATCTTGTCATTTATATTTAAATATGAGCCAAAAAGATATTTTGCAATAAGATGTTTATGTAGGTAAAATATCTACATAATTGTTGTCTTTATATGTTAGGTTCTTTTTTGTTCTTCCTTGTTTTAATATAGAAAGATGTGTCTTTTAAACTTAATTCAGTTTTTGTATTTTTATCAAATTTCAGGTTGCTGGTCGAGTTTTGGACAGAAAATATGGTGTATTTGGGAAAGATATAAATACGACAGTAAAACTAGACAGTGAAATATACAATCCTGTTTATGAAAACAAAATAGAGTTTAGAGAATCAAATATTCCACCATCAGCTACACTGCTATTAAAGGTAAATTTATATAGTGTGGTCAAAGTTCAAGGTTTTTTTGGTCATTTTTACATACATATATATTTGATTGCATAGTGTTGTAGTTGAAATACAGGATGAAATACCACAAAAGTAAGATGAAAAAAATATGTCCACGAAATTTGTTTTCTTTACTCCAAATTCCAATTTTTTTGTGTAAAATGAAAAAAGTGCTTAAATCAAATTTTGTTCATAATTTCATGAATAATAATTTTTATTTACATTTCAGATTTATACGGTAGACAATTTTTACAAGTCTTTATCAGTAGTAGGGTATGCCACATTGAATATATTTGTAGAATCTGGTACAGAAAGACAGCCAACAGTTGACCAGCCAGGACTTCAGGTAATAATCTCTTCATATCTTTTGTATTGAAGTTTTTGTTGCCTGACAGCTTCCAGATGAGGTGACATTTAGGGATGACTTTTGTCGTTGTGTATAGTCGTCAGAACATCATGTCTGATCTAGAAAGTGACATTTAAGGTTAATTCATAACTTTCAACATTCTACAAAAGCCACTTTTGGTTGGTTAACTTTTATAGGTTACCAATAGAAACTTGTGGTAAAACTCTCCAAAAAAATATGGCAATTTAATCCAAGAAGCAACTAGTCCACTATAGACGCATGGCCTGAGACATGCACATGTACAGCATTTGGTTTTAAAAAGTTCAACCATTCCCCTAACCTGCGATAATATAGATTAATTATGGAGACTTCTTTTCGGGATTTGGGTGTAATATGTATTTTTCTATGGTTTGGTAATCATAAAATATTGTTCCACCATCTGTTTACCATGCACAGTACATTTCCATGACACTAGTCTTGTAGATATATCACATAAAGGTTTTTATATAGCACCTGATCCATAAATTATGAAACAGCCAGTAGTAGACGGAACGATAGGATGCTGTCGGATGAACAGCCAGTGGAAGACGGGACTATAGAATGCTGTCAGATGAACAACCAGTAGTAGATGGGAGGATAGGATGCTGTCAGATGAACAACCAGTAGTAGATGGGACGATAGGATGCTGTCGGATGAACAGCCAGTAGTAGATGGGACGTGAGGATGCTGTCAGATGAACAGCCAGTAGTAGACAGGGCAATAGGATGCTGTCAGATGAACAGCCAGTAGGAGATGGGACAATAGGATGCTGTCAGATGAACAGCCAGTAGTAGATGGGACGTAACCATGCTTTCGGATGAACAGCCAGTAGTAGACGGGGCGATATGATGCGAACAGATGCGAACAGACAGTAGTAGACAGGGCGATATGATGCTGTCGGATGAACAGACAGTAGTAGACGGAACATAATGATGCTGTCGGATGAACAGACAGTAGTAGACGGGAGGATATGATGCTGTCAGATGAACAGACAGTAGTAGACAGATCGATATGATGCTGTCAGATGAAGAGCCAGTGTAGACAGGATGATATGATGCTGTCGGATGAACAGCCAGTAATAGACTGGATGATTTGATGGTGTCAGATGAACAGCCAGTAGTAGACGGGATGATAGGATGCTGTTTGATGAAGAGCTAGTAGTAGACAGGACGATATGATGCTGTCGGATGAACAGCCAGTAGTAGACAGGATGATATGATGCTGTTGGATGAACAGACAGTAGTAGACAGGACAATATAATGCTGTCGGATGAAGAGCCAGTAGTAGACAGGATGATATGATGCTGTCGGATGACAAATCCAGATAATCAAGTGCTCTATAACTGTAACCATAACAGATCTACTGTCGCATTTGGCATTTTAAACATTGGTAACTTTAATGCTACACAAAGACAACAACATCGTAGATTACTGCAAGGAAAATCTTTATTATGGTCTACATGTTTCGCCACTTACGTGGCGTCTTCAGGACAGTTTAAACATAGAAAACAAATACTGAAGTACATAAAATGCGGTGCATATGGGGTTACAAAGGTTAACAAGACGTAACTTCACAATAATTGATTTGACGACGTTAAAATGAAAGTGAAAGTAAGAGTTGATAATGAATTGTCAGTGTCTTTTCCAAAATGGACAACACCTCACAGGACAGTACGTTTTGCCATGGTCTTCTTTTGATCTTGAGTGGTAGTAGTTCATTTGTTGACTTTCTAGAATAATTCGGCAATCTTGGAAGGGGTCGATATTGTCAATGCGGTGTGGTTGTCAAATACAACGCTGGTTTGGCAAAGGTAGATCGTCTAGATTTAGGGGTTCACAAAAAAAATTAAGGTTGCATCGAGTGAACCAACACCTTCTAATGGTACAGGCTGATAGAGAGTAATTAGGATGGATACCTGGAGGGATGCTGCGGTTGTCTTAAAACCTCAGGAAAATAATGCTACACAAAGGCAACAACATCGTAGATTACTGCAAGGAAAATCTTTATTATGGTCTACATGTTTTGCCACTTACGGTGGCGTCTTCAGGACAATTTAAACATAGAAAACAAATACTGAAGTACATAAAATGCGGTACATATGGGGTTACAAAGGTTAACAAGACGTAACGTCACAATAATTGATTTGACAACGTTAAAATGAAAGTAAAAGTAAAAGTTAATAATGAATTGTCAGTGTCTTTTCCAAAATGGACAACACCTCACAGGACATTCCGTACCATTCCAAAAGGCTTCACTCGGAAAGAGGTACTACTTCCAATTGCGTCGGGAATGTATTAAGATGTATGATAGTCGCACATGTAGGGCATGGTGGAAGTTGTGGTGAATTTGTTACATTTTGCGGTTGTTGTACACTATCCATGTTGCAACTTTATTTCAACAATAATTGTGTGGTTCTGCAGTTCAGTACGTTTTGCCGTGGTCTTCTTTTGATCTTGAGTGGTAGTAGTTCATTTGTTGACTTTCTAGAATAATTCGGCAATCTCGGAAGGGGTTGATATTGTCAATGCAGTGTGGTTGTCAAATACAACCCTGGTTTGGCAAAGGGTGAATCGTCTAGATGCAGGGGTTCACAAAAAAAATTAAGGTTGCATCGAGTGAACCAACACCTTCTAACGGTACAGGCTGATAGAGAGTAATCAGGATGGATACCCGGAGGTATGCTGCGGTTGTCTTAAAACCTCAGGAAAATAATGCTACACAAAGACAACAACATCGTAGATTACTGCAAGGAAAATCTTTATTATGGTCTACATGTTTTGCCACTTACGGTGGCGTCTTCAGGACAATTTAAACATAGAAAACAAATACTGAAGTACATAAAATGCGGTGCATATGGGGTAACTTTTGGCGAAATTCAAATTCATGTGCTTACCCCTAAATTTCCTATGTCATAATGCTTATGTTATTACGTCACAACCGATTGTTTGATGATGTCGTTTACGCCCGGTGTAACTCATTCATAAAAAACAACTGAAGATTTGTGTATTGTCATTATTTATAGAATTGTAAGTTTTTACTTTGTGAGAAGTTGTTCCATTGTACTCTGTCTTATTTTAAGATTGCAAGACGTTCAAGCATTAGAAAAGTTCTAATTTAAAGGATAAAGGTAAACTATAATATTTATTCCTGTATACTTTCAGATATCACTGAATGAAGGAGCACATCAGTTAAGGCTGTACAGCCAGGGACCAAATGGTGTTGATCCACTCTCAGAGACTAGTCTTAGGGATGCTAATATAAGAATTGTACCTTGTGCTTCAGCTCTTGTCAGGCTAACGAGAGTACCTAAAGGTTCCACAGGAAAAGCTTTAGAGGTTAGATCCAATACTTTATAAAAACAGGTTTATAACTGTACTATACACCTTATCGCTATTTGTCCGCCATTTCTGGACATCACAAAGGTGCCCGTAAAATTTTGACATCATAATAGAAAGTATCTGACACCACAATGGAAAAGTGATTGTTGTATGACGTCAATAGTTCAAGCAGCGCCAAAGAGCGATAAGGTGTATTGAAATGTACTTTGGAGTATTCTTTGTGTTTTAAAGTTAGTTATGAATTTCCATTGTTTTATATACTGTAATCATATTCAATACAAATCAGATATAATATCTATTGACTTTCCACATTTTTTGCAGTATGCTTTTTTAACAGACTGTCAATTTCTAACTTCTAATGATATGAACAAAAACTTACAATGACTTTTCATGTTGTAATAACATATTGCTACTTTTCAGCAAAGTAAAGTACCAGAGACAGATTGGTTAAGACTTGGACTGTACATTCCCAGACCTAGGTACACTGATCGTATTTACTATTCATCCAAATGTTTACCAACAAAAGGAGAGAGTCGCTTGTTTCACTCTATGATGAAAAGACCATCAATATCCATGAGAGATGCTGTAGCTAAGCTAGCAAAGGCTAAAGAAAGTTTCTACAGGAGTGATAAAAATATTGAGGAATATATCAGGGTAAAGTTCTAACATTTCCTTCCTTAAGACTCACCATTCTGATAAAAACATGATGTGAGAAGTTGTATATAAGTTAGTAGAGGTTAACAAGATCCATGAGGAGTAATGAAAACATTTGGTAGATCATATAAGGTTCCAACATTTTCTTCCATAAAATTCACCATTTTGATGAAATCAAAAGGGAATATTTATAAATTTTACTATGAACTGTGAATATTTCAATTGTTGTAAAAATGATTTCTGAATCTGCAGGTTAAAGTGCATGTTGCAGGTCAATAGTTACTGAAGAAACCTGAAGTTGGCTGCCTTCATCAAATTTGATTGGATAAACACATAACACCTTCAAAATATTAACATGTTGTCTTTCTTTAATATATCAAACAATGAAACAATAACTCACCATAATGAAACTTTGATTTTGTCATTTCAGAACAAGCTTACAAAAGGACAAGACAATAAAGCTATAGATCAGGATCTGACTTACATCTGTCAGTATAATCCTAAGAGTGGTGTTAAGGTAAGTTGTTATTACAAGGGACAAGACAATAAAGCTATAGATCAGGATCTGACTTGCATCTGTCAGTATAATCCTAAGAGTGGTGTTAAGGTAAGACCAAGACAATAAAGCTATAGATCAGGATCTGACTTACATCTGTCAGTATAATCCTAAGAGTGGTGTTAAGGTAAGACCAAGACAATAAAGCTATAGATCAGGATCTGACTTACATCTGTCAGTATAATCCTAAGAGTGGTGTTAAGGTAAGACCAAGACAATAAAGCTATAGATCAGGATCTGACTTACATCTGTCAGTATAATCCTAAGAGTGGTGTTAAGGTAAGTTGTTATTACAAAGGACAAGACAATAAAGCTATAGATCAGGATCTGACTTACATCTGTCAGTATAATCCTAAGAGTGGTGTTAAGGTAAGTTGTTATTGAGGTATACAACTAAGACTTATGTCTTATACTCATATAGACATTCACTTTGTTAAATTATGTCTTCTTCTGCTGCTGATGATATTTCTCCACTGGCTATGTGGAAATTTAACAAAGGAGAGAGGAAAAATATTGTAATTTTATAGCAAACAGAAGGATAATGTGCTATTATATAAAAATAAGGAGAAGTGGTATGATTGCCAATGAGACAACTATCCACCAATTTTCAAATGAAGAAGATGTATAGGCAACCGTACCATAGGTTATTTCAGAAAATTGTGCTTGAAAAGGACAACAATGGCTCTCTTGCTGATAAAGCATACCAATAACTTGATGTCATAATTAGTATAAAGCTCAATTACTAGTTTATTGCGCAAAACAATTTAACTTCTCTGTGGTTTAAATAATTAGAATAACCTGTCTGAGTGTTGTATGTTAATACCAATGGAAGAAACAGTTTTAACAATAATACACATACACTGTTGTAATTAATGCTGAATTCTATTAGATAACAGAAAAATTGGTTAATACTCTGCATCTCCTTTTATTCATAGAAAAAAATTCCCCTGCATAAGAATTTTCATTAGTATATTTCTGGTTTTTAGATTGCAGTAGACAGTGCCTTAAATCTACCATGGACAAATTTTACACATGCACACATCTGTCTTAATCCACCTGGAGCTTTCTATATGGTGAGTTAAACAATAAGAAGATGTGGTATGATTGCCAATGAGACAACTCTCCATCAGAGACCAAATGACATAGAAGTTAACAACTATACGTCACCATACAACTTTCAACACTGAGCAAAACCCATACTGCATAGTCAGCTATAAAAGGCCCTGAAATGACAAATGTAAAACAATTACACATACAAAAGTTTTCCTTCACTATAGGTTTTTATGGTTTGATAGCTGTATAGAAATTTACTCTACCGACCGTGCAAGACCCTAATGGGTAGTCAAGGTTGTTAAAACCCCCTCGTTGAAAAAACACACATTAATTTCATTTTGTTCTTAACTTAAATTGTGCTCTCCTTGTCCTTGTCTAAAATGTAAAAAATTCTATCACACACCAAATAAGCAAATATATATATTTTTTTAATACTTGATCCTCAGCATCAACTTATACCTTCAGTGAAATAGGTAAAGTTATAAATTATTTACTTGTAATCAAATAATGACTTTTAAGGTACCTTTTTTTCATTGGTTCTTTCAACATGTGTTATCTATTTATAGGGAGCACCTCATGCAGCCTATGATAAACTAACATTTACAGAGTTATTGGACTTGAAGAGTACCAACACTTCACCTACATGGAAAGATGGCTTCAAGGTAAATTAATTTTGTATAGCATTACATCTGAATTATAGAAAGTAAATAAACAAATGTTCAGTTAGATTTTTTTGTATGTACACAAATGAAAAGAAAAGGTTATAAAAAAATATTATGGCTGTAATTAAAAATTTTGACAACTTAATTTTATTTGCAGCATTTTCCAAGAAGGTCTTTTCACAGATTCCTTTGTGCCATTATACATCTACAAGAAGTTCAAGTTACCATAGCAAGGGAAAACTATAAATATGGTTTGCTGGAACAGGTATATATAATCTTTTATTAGGCCAATTAAAATTAATTGATAGATTTTCATCCCTGCTCGCCCCTCTGAAATCGTCCTGCCCCGTTTTTTTTATTTTTAAAAATTTACTATTTCCGGATTTTGTTCATTTCCGTTACCGGTAACCGCTGATAATTTTGTTTCATTCAAAACTTCCTGTTTCAAATTTCGGTTTTCGTATTTCTTCAAGTAATATAAGTTGACATATTCTTCTGCTCAATGATGACAACATTATCTTCTGAGAATATAGATTGATTACTAGAAGGGCATGAAATATTAGGGTTATGAGTAATAGGCGGTGTCCAAGAACACTAATCGCTGTATGTCACAAAATCAGGTAATAGATAACCGTGGATTTTTTCATACTACCACAAAAAATTTTGCGGTCGTATATTGGTATCACGTCGTCGTCTGCGTCGTCAGAAGACATTTGGTTTCCGACAATAACTTTAGTATTTGTTTTTTTTTGGGGGGGGGGAGGTCTATTCGCAACAGCATAGTGTTTTGCACAAAAGCAAAAATTAAGGGGGGGGGGGGGGGTAAATTTTTTTTTTTTTTTTTAGGGGGGGTCAATTTGCAACAGCATAGTGTATTGCAGGAAAGCAAAAATTGAATATGAATTCAAATCATATAACCAATTCTAAGTTCTTTGACTACAGTTATTCTGTGTCAGAAACCTATTATGTGACAAATATTGAATTACAATACCAAATTCAGACCTGTATCAAGCCCGAATATTGTGTCCATTTTTGCCCCAACTGTTCAGGGTTGGACCTCTGCGGTCGTATCCAGCTGCGCTCGGCGAAGCAATTTATTTATTTATACAATGACTTTATGTCAGGAAATTTGGACTGTGAATAATATCCAAAGTGCAAAAATCGTGGAACACTTTGGTACAAAAACATGACTGGAATACAGTAATTAACACAAGCACGAACTTGTGTGATTTATGATCGTATATTGAGTACAAAGAGTCGGCCAACGTACAAAATGTATTACATGTATAGCAAGCCCTTAGATTTACCCCAAGGCTGTCGTTTTTGTTGACAAAAAGCAAAGACTCTGTCCCCAGCCCCTCAATAGAGTCATTAAACAACTTCGTTTTGGTTCAGTTCATGTTTTACATTGTGATTATATTTGCACCTTGCATACATGTAAGAATCTTAAAAGCATCAACCCTAGTATTTTCAACACAGTTTGAGTTTTCATTTCACTCTGTACTCATAATATTTGTGTTGCATACCAATGCATATGCTTCATTTTATGGGCACTATAAATCATAGCTTAGAAAGCAAAATAAATTTGATCTAAGTAAGTGTAAAAGAGAACATTTCTCCACGTTTTTGCTATTTACTAAAAATACGTTTCTAAAGCGGCAATTACATGTAGAACAGTGGTTGCCAATCAGAAATATTAATTTAAAAATTTGAAAAATAATGTAGAATTCTTTATAAATTATATACATGATATAAGCTTGTTATTTCTCTTGTATATTAACAACACGTCACAAAAGGGTTTAAGAGGAAATAAAAATTAAAAAATAAAATCCTCCCATCTGCCCCATTTTAAAAAAAAATCTGGATGAAAATCTACTAATTAATTTTAGTTGGCCTTATAATATCATATTATTTAAAAGCTGTGATTTGTCCATTCATGACTTGTTTGTATAGAAACATGTATTACATGCATGGATATTACTAAAAATTGATATTTAAAATTTGGAACTATTAAAAGTATTGTATAATAATGTTATAATGGACAGCTTGTATCTTAATTGTTTGAAGGAGTGAAAAGGGGGTACACACTTGAAGTTATTCAATGAATTTATTCAACACACAATGATCATAGCTTAAAAAGGCTCCCAGTAAATGATTTGATTTTTAAATTAGATGCTACAATAAGAATTAAAACGAATGAGAAGTGGAAGAAAAAAGTTCAAATAAAGAGAAGAATGACAAAATTGAAATTTGAAAAACCAAATTTTTTTTTAAAAGGAGCATTGAACTTTATGGAGTGCATGGTAGCTTCTATTTGAAAAATATTTTTTCTAAAGGAATATTGTTGATATTATTAAAATTATGAAATTATCATTTTGGAATTATATTCCATTTCAGGCATGGACAGCAGTCCAGTTATTTGTAGATAAATATACCTACACAACAACCTTCCAACTACCTCTGTTTCAAGGAGCTCCAACTCCTCAGATGTTAAAACAATTAGCTAGAGAACCATGTAGAGACTGGATGGAGAGAAATATCAGGAATAATACAGTAAGTGATTAAAACAATATAACTAGGGATTACAATATTTTGTGTTCTCATTTACTGCAGATCCTAAGGAAAATATGTATAATTTAAAATCAGTGCAAAAGAAAATAGAAAAATACACAAAAGCTCACTGTTCACAGAAAGGTTTGTTTCTATCATATTAAGGAGCTGATAGCTCTGAGGTGGAAGAAGATTCATTTAAGGATAACTTGAATTACAATGAAAGCAGACTACACCAACCCAGCCTACTCTATAACCTCACCCCTGTCTGTCAATTTTAATTTTGGAGTTAAAAACCTCAGACAATACACAACTGGATTAAAATACCAACTAAAATCAAAATTGTGTAAATTACATATGGAGATATCTTTAAAATTATAGATTTGTAAAATAGAGAAGAGCATACAGAAGAAATAAAATGGTTTCAATTCTTATGCTGTATAAAATGGTATATATATATCACACTATGTTATGGCGCCGACACCTTTGTGATTTTCAGATTTACCTACTAGAAGGAGCCTCTGTATTTGTAAGGGTATCAGATGGCAGAAGAGATGATGAACTGGCTGGTAATGTGACTGTTAGTAAGCTGGTATGTAATGTGAAATCTAGTTCAAAACTCTAATTTGCATATAATTTTAAAAGTTCTCCTCATAAAGAACATGTGCACTGAGTTTCAAGTTTCAAGTTGATGTGACCTGAATGTACCTTATACCATAACTTTAACCTAAACATTTAACCTGATACAGGCGGATGAACATAGACTGAAAATATAATCCTCCTACTGTCTATAGTGGGTTATAAAAATTCATGTGTCATCAGCTTTAATTAGGACAAATTTTATGTTCTTTAGTAAGTAAATTGTAAAAATACCTGTTTAAAGTCATATAAAAACAAGTTTCTTTAAATTTTAATGTTATAAAAATTATGGAACCAATGCATATATATAAAAATAAGAAGATGTGGTATGATTGCAAATGAGACAACTCTCCACAAGAGACCAAATGACACAGAAATTAACAACTATAGGTCACTGTACGGCCTTCAACAATGAGTAAAGCCCACAACGCATAGTCAGCTATAAAAGACCATGAATTGGCAAATGTAAAACAATTCAAACAAGAAAACTAACGGCCTAATTTATGTACAAAGTAATGAACAAAAAACAAATATGTTACACAGCAAAAATATATATATGCATATATACTAAACTAAGTCCTGTATGCACGTTTTTTTTTTATAATTATTACGAATCTATAACATATTATTGACAAATAATATTTTCATTCAGTGATTATTAATATCAAGCTAATTAACTTTCGAGTTTGTTGCCGAAGTTTACCTGATCTTGACAATGATAAACAATCAACACAGAGCATGTGTAACTCGTGACAAAAAAGTGAAGTGATAGAGCCATGATATTTGGTTTTTTTTTATATTTTCCCTGCGTTTCCATTTGTTATTTAAACTTTTCCTAAACAGTTGCTAAATGATTTGTTATATTACATTTGTTCTTTCATAGTCAGTTATTACTATTTACTGTCCAGCGCATGTTTGTTTACATTCTTTCATCACGGTTTTCCCTCGTACTTGCGCTGTGCGATGGCCGAAGTTCTAAAGAGAGGTCTCAAAGTAATGGTTATTGCATACGAGAAAATATTGGCAAATTGGTGTACGGGTGGACAATAATTCAATATCAGTACATTTATGAAGATTTTGATGCTATAAAGGATTTTCTTTTACAAAAAAAGTTAACATACACTTGTTTTATAGTAAAACTTAGCCATTCAAGATTTTAAAACATTTCTAATTTTTTTTTTAAATTTGAAGTTTCAAATGACTTTAAATACAGTTAAAATCAGTGCTAAGAAAAGTGTTTGTGCAAAGATACCACTCAAAAATACACAAAAGCTCATCGTTCACAAATAGGTTTATTACTATCATATTAAAAACTTTGGAATTCAAGTATTTGGCTTGAGAAGGTATGGATCTTAACAATCTTCTGAAAATCTTCCAACAATTAAATCAAAATGTGTCAGTAAAAGCAATCACTATAATAGAAAAACAAAGGAAATGGGGTATCTATCCACGACACAAAATCAGTACATGCACAGTAAAAAAACCAAAAAAAGCAAAGGAACAGCACTTTTATTGCTATTCTTGATCTCAGAATCTCAGTGAGGCCTTCAACACGGAGCAAAAAAAAACAAAAAAAAAACTCTCACCTCACTGCAAGTTTAAGACGGCCCCTAGCACCAGTTTGAGCAAAATTCTTTGCAAAATGATTTGGATAGACTTTGTAAGATGTATCACCACGAAATCGGGCCTGGTCAAAAAAGACCATACTGAAAAGTAGTACATATCTAAAACAAAATAGTTCCTATGCATAGGTGTAAATATAAAACTATGTAGAATATATTTCAGTTGTTTTAAAGGTATCAAATGAAAGGTGAAGGATTGGTGATCCTTGTAGAACACATATTGACTGATAATTTTGAATAATACAAAAATGTATGAATGAATTCTTAAATTGAGGGCATATATTGCCTGTTTCTCAGATATGAAGTATTGGTGTAATCCAAAGCTCCGATAACCAGTATGGTCTCATGTATAAATAAAGGTATATTGACACCGCCCCCCACCCCTCATACAATGTTTGGAGATGGCAAAATGAAACGTGGATAGGAATGGTATCTGAAATGTTTAGACTTTGACTGTGTTATTTGATTCTGAAGGTTGAAGTAAATACAGATTATATTCCTGCCCAACTTGAAGCTGACTATACCAGGGAAAGACCAGGCAAGGTGTTAGAATCTTTTGTTCCACCAGGCAAAGCACCAGATCAGTTTAATGATAGTCTAGCTATTAAGTTTAAAAATGTAAGTGTAGCAAATGTTAGAAGAAATGGTAACTCCAGGTAAAATTGTTCATAAACTTATAATTTTTAATTAACCTTCAAGTAGAAAACTTCGAAGTTTGACAAAAATATCATTTTATACAGGAATATCATTTTATTACCTGTCAACAACTAAAGTAGTTAGATTCTCTCATTATACAATTTGATGAATAAAAGAGGACCAACAAAACAGAATCGTCTACTGTGGATTCATTTTTATTCGTGGTATACCAATTTTCGTGGGTTTCGTGGGTCACAGCGAACCACGAATTTAAGAATTCAACGAAGAATAATCCCGAGAAATGTGTATGGAGTCGGATATTTATTTCCGGTTATGTTATGCAGTTGTAGTATAGTGTTGACTAGCGATAAACATTGTAACATAACACGTGTTTTTATTGAAAGAAGATACAAGTATTTTGATTAAATCAATAATTAATATATCGAATATCAGTGATAATTTACTTTTTAAAATTGATTAAAACTGTTCATGGAAAATTACTGCAAGTTGTTAATTACCGTGTCATAGTTTGGTTTACTGGTGATTAAAAATCAATAGGATTAAGTACGGGGATGTTACCCGTAGGTAATATTTTTTATGACAGGAACATTTATTTTCACACCTTTTACTTATATGACTGTTTATTATATCGTGATTAGGGAACTGAGCTTTCAATCATAGAGTTTTGAATGCCTAAGAAAATTCCGAAAAGAATTTATAAATTGTAAAACAAACAAATAATTAGTTTTCTCTGTCCATTATTGTAATAGAAGTTTTCAATGAACACTTTAACCTAGAATGACCAAGCGAGGATTTTGACAATTCAAAACTTTTTCAATGAATTCCTTCGCTTTTGTTTGTTTTATTATTGATCAAATCAAGGAGGTTATATGATCTCCTAAATCGAAAAGAAATCCACGAATTACGTATTTGATTTTTTTTTTTTTTTTTTTTGTAATCAGCGATCCACGAATTTACGTACACCACGAAATGTCTTTTTTTCTCTATCCACGAAAATTGATACCCACGAAAATAAATGAATCCACAGTATGTTATATGCCGTTTATGTTATTTGCTGAGCTCTTAATCATGACATGTCCAGAAAAAAAGGGAATTAATTTAATAGACTACTAAAGGTAGCACTCCACAGTTAGGTGTTTAGTTTCCCATTTTGGCTCCTGTGGATTTTTCAAATATGAAAGCTGCTGCTAGTGTGCAATAAAATTCATTTTTGGATAGCTGATGATTAATACTGCCTTCATAGCAGGTTTATAGGAACATCTGGATTGTGTAATGTATGTATTATGGGCTGTTTTCTGTATGACAGTCCGTATTTTCATATCCATACCAGACATTGGTCTGGAAATTATTGTAATGTTTTTTCCAACTTTTTGTGTCATGAACATTGTAATTAATTTTTAAAAATGAAGCAAAAGACACCCAATTTTCATTTGCTCATTTGGTAGATTAATGTCAATAGTTTCAGAAAATGTATCACTCAAAGGGATTGAAATTCTAGTTTGAACCAAATTTTGGGGGAATATGTGACATTTTCATCCCCCTTTTTGCAATATTTTTTGGTAAATAAATGCAGAATGTTGCCACGGATACACAAAAAATGAATTATATTTCACCATTTTAACTTTGGAAAATCAAATCTATGGAAGATACTGATTACATACATATTCAAGTGTATGACAAAAACAGTTGGCTTCATGTATTAGAAAGCCAGGAATAGAAGATGATTCAACATTTTGTGGTTCAATTTTAATTTTATTTTCTAACTGTGGAGTGCTACCAAAGATTTGCCTTTATGACAAATCCTTTAAAGGCAATATTAACACAATGCTTTAACTAAAGACCACCAATGACAAGGTTTCTGGCTTTGGACAGGCACATTAAAAACATGGCAGGTTTAACTATTTTTTTAGTACCCTTTTTATGTCAATCAGTGGAATAAAAAAGTTAGTAGAGGAACATACATTAGAAGGCACAAATCTATAAAATCATCATTATAGGAAGAAAAACACATGTACAAGATCATTTAATAAAATATTTAGGATCATGTGTCCATTCTTGCAGCACTAGTTTAAAGTTTAAAATAATCCCTATTTTTTTTAATAACACTCTTATCAATACATCATTGAATGATCAATGGCATGTTTAAACAGTCATTTTTGTAGTTTTTTTACCAATTGTAACTTTTGCAAAAAATTAAAGAAATGTAAATATATGAGTTTTAACCAACATTCCCACATTTAAAGACAAATTTATAATCTTTAAATGGTTTTGCTTTTCATCATGACTTGTGAGCTATAGAATTACTGTCTGTGATCATAAATATAAGCTTCCAGATTTTTTATAAGAATTTAAAATATGTAATTATGTCTTTTTTCCCAGTTGGTGTACAAATTATATGAAGATGATAAAGTCAACAAGTGAGAGAAACTGTAGATCAACACATTAATGGGCTTCCATGACAGATCATCATATATATGACTGGACTTCTTTGACAAATCCTCTGTAGATGATACATCAAAACAGAATCAAACTAAGTACTTACAATGACTAAAAATGTTAAAATGTTGGTATGGCCACAATTGGTTTTTGCTGATTTATTGTGGAGTTCCATTATACAAAAGTTTTTATGATATATAACCAGTCGTAAGATTTCCAAAAGATAGTTTCGAATTACAGCTTGGCTGAATTGTTATAATCTTTGCAAAACTAATGATGATTTTCAGATGTTATTTTTGTATGTTTTATTTGAAAATTACAGAAAATCTGCAATATTTCTTTATAAGATCAAAAGAAAAAATAGAATTGATGAACAAATTTAAAAATAGTTCATTGTGGGCTCTCTAGTATTTTAAAAAAAGTGTATGAGGTGAACTCCAATCTTTACTAAAGATTCAGATATCTTGGTTTCTTGACAAAAGGATGTTAACTCTCGACTTATTTCAGGTTTTGATGCTTTTATTGATAGAAACTTCCTTGTCAAAAAACATTTTGCATACAATAAAAAAAATTTAACACCAGATCAGAAGTAAGATTTTTTTCTTAGTCTAATTTCATGTACTTTTACCAATCAGATCAAATTAGTTGACATTCTTTAGCTAGAAATTCAAAAAGTATGTGTTTTTAATAATACATAAAGTTGTTTTTCAAGTGACTCAGAGAGACAGTTCAGCAGCACTGATTGATATGTAAAATGATTGATTTGTCTTGTTTCTTTTTTGTTTGTTTACCTTTTAACACTATATATATAGACATATAGCCTTTTGTTAGAAAATGTACCGATAAACGATGTATGACATGTCCAAATTTAATAGAAGAAAGTTCAATTTATTTTAAAAATGGAAAGCATTTCAAAATTAAACAAAACATGTCTTGTAAAAGTTCAAACGTCATTTATTCTCTCATATGTTCAAATTGTGAGGAATTCTATATTGGAGAGACAAAAAATGAACTGTGTACTAGAATGACTGTTCATAGGCAGCAAACCAACGATGAAGATTTAACAATCATCCGGTCTAACGACCATTTCCATATTGTTCTAATGGACGATTTTAAATATTTCCATTGTATATGGTGAATCGTCAAAATGATTTTCTCCGGAAGAAGAAAGAAGAATTATTCATAAACATTCTTAACCCTGGATTAAAAGATAAATAATATTTTATTTTTTACTTAAATTTTAACATTTTAAAGACTTTACTCAATTTTTTAAATGACATTAATAGTCTCCCTTGTATTTGTTAACGTCATACTATTGTTAACGTCAATCAATTGTTTTGTATAACACTTATGTATACAAGTCACATTACCTGAAGATCTGTAAAAGCAGTGAAAGCGCTAGCAAAAGTGATGAATTGAAACCGTTATTATCTTTTATTAATTTTCTTATATTAGTTTATATTGACATTATTTACTATTATTATTGTAATATAATTTCATTATTTATTTATTTAAGATTGTACAACCTTTCCAGTGGAACAGATTATTTGTGTATAGATTAAATATTTATGTTTAGATTAATTTTAGTATGCAATATATTGTTGTGTTCACCAGAAACATAAATTGTCATTTAAGATTTATAATTTGTCATATCTCATCCAAACCCCAATTTTGATTATCTTAGTCTTTTAAGGCATTCAAAATGTCATTGAATTTTATTTTGTATACACATATCCTTGTTTACATTCTTGTGTATGTATTTTTCTGTTTTACATTCCATGTTTATGTATTTTTGTATTCAAACATATATTTTGTTATGTATACATTCTTTGTGTATGTATTTTTGTTGTGTTTATGTAATGTAGAGATCACTATCATGTTATCAGATTTTTCTAGCCAATCTCTTCGGCTTAAACACTAATAGGAAAATAAATTGCTACCTACTTTTATCTTTGGATCAAAATTACTGTTTAGGGATTTCCATGCAGTTACAATAAAAGAGGTTTGATGTAATGACACAAATTTTCTCAATCCATTTAACAATCTATGTATTCATTTGTTAGATATCAGCATTTATTTTCTACAATTTTTGGCTCAATAATTTCCATAGGTTTCAACTTTCTTGCATTCGAGGAAAAACTGAACAAACTTCCATAAGAGCCTCATTTTGAGTTACATGTATCACAATTCATATTTAGATATGCATCTAACCCAAAAAGATATTTCGCTTAGAATTGTCCAGTACAAAGATGTTCATGCGAATAAAATGTCATTTTGTGTTTCACTGTTGCTCATATTTCATTGTATCAACAAGTATGTATAAAATGGCCATTTATGTCAATTATGACATGTTTTGGATGTAAAATAATATCCAAATTAATATTTCTGCACTGAATTGACCCAAGAAATAACATCTTGTTTCTCTATCAATTCAAATTAAATTTTTTTTTAAAGAATTGAAGATTTTTACTGCAATATCAGGCAACACATAATACATGGCTCTTATCATACACCTTTTTAGGCAGTCTTCATTAAAGAAATGTAATATTATACCTTGTGAATTTTGGATAATTTTTGTTTGTTGTTTTTTTTGGCAAATAGCTTACAAAAAAAGATTTTTTATTTTCATAAAAAGTTCAATGTAGCACCTATATGATTATTTCATGTATGATTAGTAGTTGTAGTAAGCTTAAGGTTCCAGTTATCCAATGTTACCAATGTTTTTTATCTGATTTATGTCATGCCATGCTTACACATTATTTTATATTTTAACATTTTGTAGTGTTATTGTCCATATAAGTTTATGTTTTTATGAAACCAAATTTAAGAATCCATCCATCATTACAATCTGGTAAACATATTTATTTGTACTTTTTATTCTAGTTTGTTATATTTTTTCCTTTAATTTCAGCTTTCTTTGCTTTTACCAAATAATATGTGATGCTTAAAGCTTTATATTTGTACAAATACTTATTATACAAAGACTGCCGTCCATCTTAATTAACATTGATTATATTTCCAATAAAGCATATAAAAAAGACCTTTTATATTAGTTTGATATGGCAAAGTTGAAAAAAACTCAATTTCACAAATTATTGGGCAGTAAAAGTCTTTATATGTATACATCAAGTATGAAAGTTGTTTATATTGATCAAGGTCTGCATTAGTCTCAGTTTTGGTGGATGTTGGGTTATACTCAAGTCATAAAAGGCAGGATGCATTGGTCTATTGCATTAGTCTCAGTTTTAGTGGATGTTGGGTTATGCTCCAGTCATAAAAGGCAGGATGCATCGGTCTATTGCATTAGTCTCAGTTTTAGTGGATGTTGGGTTATGCTCCAGTCATAAAAGGCAGGATGCATTGGTCTATTGCATTAGTCTCAGTTTTGGTGGATGCTGGGTTATACTCCAGTCATAAAAGGCAGGATGCATTGGTCTATTGCATGAGATTGAAATTGACAGTTAGAGGAACATGCCTTAATGAATTAATGATTAAAAATTAACATTGCACTGTTTTATTACAACTATAACAAAGCCATCATGATGAATGGAATACATATATCCAGAACACGACTTTAAACATTCTCCTTGCAAATGCTATCACTTTCAGACCCAATTTCAAACTTGTTATCCTTATATCTAACCACGTACTTAATCCAATGTCAACATCCTGCTGCATGCGGGATGTGTTAATATTTTTATATAAAAGAAAACTAGATTCATGTAACAGCTACACTTTTTTTGTTATTTTCTTAAGAATGTCTCTTTGTTCCAATGCTGCTTTTCTCTTCCTCTGTAAAAAAAAATATCAATAATATTTACTGACATTGGGGAAAAAACATAATGATAAATTCATCATAACCTATTGCTTCTTCCTTTCAAAGTTACAAATACTACACATTGTAAGAGATTTGAATTTCTTATTCATAGAACCCTTATCTTTGGTCCTTTTGCATTGATTAAGTAAGGATAATAAAAGCATGCAATTTAAGGTAGGGAATGGTTAATGTTTCACAAAAAACAACTTAAGTGCAACCAAATGACGTTCAAACAGTGAATAAAGGCTTCAACAATACATTAACCACATTATAATTTGACTGGAAACTAATGAATCCTTCAATCTTTAATGTTAATTATGATTTTTCTTTTAAAAGGATAAAACCTATTCAGTAGACATGTTGAAATTGTATGGCTAAATTGATGGAAAACTGACATTTTCCTTTATGCAAATCAAATCAAATTTCTTCTACATAACAATGACAAGTTGCACTATCTGTAAGTTGATCATAGCAAAAGAGGGACGAAAGATACCAGAGGGACAGTGAAACTCATAGATCGAAAACAAACTGACAACGCCATGGCCAAAAATAAAAAGACAAAACAGACAAATAATAGTACAGATGACACAACATAGAAAACCAAAGACTAAGCAACACGAACCCCACCAAAAACTGGGGGTGATCTCAGGTGCTCTGGAAGGGTAAGCAGATCCTGCTCCACATGTGGCACCAGTAGTAAGTCTCAATGTCAAATCAATAATTGCTGGTCCAAGTTTTCAATAGGTTTTACTATTAAGCATGTTTTTATAGTACTGTTTTTTCTTCTCTAATACCTTTTTCTCAAACAAGAGCTTCTCCTGGACATGTTATATTTGATGGTGTGTGTTTTGTTGCACTTATTTGCTATGCCACTGACTAAGGTAATTTGGGAAGGGTTTACTTTATCATAAAAATAGTTGAGCTTGCATTACCATTGTCCAAAAATCAGGACCCAAGTCACTAGTTGTCATTTTCACTTTTTTGTTGATTTCTCATTCTGGTATTATTATACTCATCATTCTATCCCTTTCATGAAAATATTCAGTCAGACTAGACTTGTGTGAACATTCCTTTTCTTAAAAAGTTCATCGGAAGGTACCAAGACTTTGTTGATAAATATTCCGTATCAACTTCACAAATAATACATGATGGTCTTGAAGTATAGATTCTGGGTACTGACGTTGTTTATCATCTTAATAACGTGTTACAGTATTCTTTTATTTGTCTTTTTGTATATATTACTTTTACTGTTTAGTCTATTTTTGGTGATATCTGTGGTAAATTTTTGTATTCTTGTCTTTCATTTTTGTTTGTGTTCTTTGTCTATATGCCTTTTTGTGTTTCTTTGTTACATATTTGTTTGTTTTTTTTAGTGATTAAGATTATAACACAATGTTGACTGTACCCCTATTTTGACATTTTTACCTATTATGTCTGTTTGTTTTGTTCACACATCGTTGTCAATATAATGGAATTTTATGTGACTGTCATACAAGTGAGAGGTTTAGCTAGCTATAATCCAGGTTTAATCCACCATTTTCTACATAAGAAAATGCTGTACCAAGTCAGGAATATGACAGTTGTTATCCATTCGTTTGATGTGTTTGAGCTTTTGATTTTGCCATTTGATTAGGGACTTTCCGTTTTGAATTTTCCTCTGAGTTCTGTATTTTTGAGATTTTACTTTTTAGAATTGTTTATGGTGTGTCACACCTGCTTATCATCAGAGGTGACCACTAAGTTTTTTTGTTTGTTTGTGTTGTCATGTTGCTGTCAAATGGATATTCATTCCACATATGTTTCTTATTCATCAGCATGACAATTAAGGTATGATGTGAAACTTACATTAGGTGTGCCTGGAGCACTTCCAATAACATCAATAGCTTCGGCTAACTTTTTCTGACTGTTTGGAGATTCTGGTGTCATGCTAGGTGTAACTAACATTGGTGTGGTTTCTGTTGGAGTTACTGGTGTTTCTGGTAAGGATGATAAACCTTCTATTGTAGAGGACTGAAAAATCAAAATAAAACATACAATGAAACCTCACATTTAACAAAGCTCTTCAAAATTACCAGGCTAATAATTTGGAACGGCAGAGGCACGTTTTTGCATGCATTAGACTCATTAGTGGCGCAACATTCAAAACAGGTGGAATATAAAATTGAAGAGCATAAAAAAACGAAAATTCTGAAAAGTTGTGCCAAATATGGCTTCGGCAATCCATGCATTGGGGCAGTTAATTTATAGAAAATATACATATAAATGATGTATTAAAAGGTGAGGGTTCCTAAAGTAAATAATGGTTCTACTGAAGTACATGGACGTCCTCATCATAAACCCTTGTCTCATCATTTTTATTTTCTCTCTAAGAGTATATCAGTGTTTTTTTTATATTTATATGTAAATTATTGTACACACCTTCCCAGGGGCTACAGTTTCTAATCTATGCCGTAACGTTTCTGTTTCATAATCACAGTTTGCTAAGGCTGATTTCAGTTCATACAATAAAACTATATCCTGTCGTAACTCATTAAATATCGATACTACTTCTTCTGTAGGCATAGGGTTAAATTCTGCAAAAATAAAAGAAACAATCATGGCTTGATATTTACAATATTTTGTACAATATAAACTTTCAAACTAGAAGGGAAGGCCTATCTTCTGTAAACTATTAAACAAGTTCTAGAATTTCTCATCCATGTAAAGTTCAACATACATAAATAAAATGCTTCGCTGAGCGCAGCCTGATACGACCGCTGAGGTCGAAACCCTGAACAGTTTGTGCAAGTTTGGACACAATATTTAAGCTTGATACTGTCTGAATTTGGATTGTGATCAAATTTTTTACATAATATAGGTTTCTGACACAAAATAAATGTGGTGAAAAATCTTAAAAATTTGAAATGGGTTGAAATATTTGTATTAATTTTCAATTGAAGATTTCTTGCAATTGGATATTTCTTGCTATTGTGCAATACTATGCAATTGAAGATTTCTGGCTATTGGGCACTATTCTGCTATTGTGCAATACTGTGCAATTGGATATTTCTTGCTATTCTGCAATACTGTGCAATTGAAGATTTCTTGCTATTGCCCAATACTGTGCAATTGAAGATTTCTTGCTATTGCGCAATACTGTGCAATTGAAGATTTCTATCTATTGTGCAATATTATGCTATTGCGCAATACTATGCAATTGAAGATTTCCTGCTATTGCGCAATAGTGTGCTGTTGCACAATACTTCATATAATAGTTTACTCGTCATGTTTGGTGTTCATCTCCTGCCATATCAGTATTTTTTGCTTTTAAATATAAATCAGAAATAATAAATGCAAAAATGGAAAATTTTAAGAAAAAAAACCCAAAAAATTATGAGAAAAAAAAAAAATCCCCCCCCCCCTCTAATATTTTTTTACCCTCCTTTCAGTAATTACCCCCAAACTCAATCCCAGCTTTCCCTTTGTGGTATGGTCCCTTGCCCCTTGCAGTACAATTTCAGAAAGATCCATACACTAAAACACAAGTTATTGTCTGGAAACTAGAAAAATTCTTGTTTTTTACCCCTTTTTGGCCCCCAATTCCTGGGCAATTACCCCCAAACCCAATCCCAGCCTTCCATTTATGGTATGATACCTTGCATTACAATTTCAGGGAGATCCATAAACATAAACACAAGTTATTATCTGAAAACTAGAAAATTGCTTTTTTTTTGCCCCTTTTTGGCCCCTAATTCCAGAACATTTAGGGCAATTACCCCCAAACTCAATCCCAGCCTTCCTTTAGTGATATGGAACCTTGTGGTACAATTTCAGAAGGATCCATACACTTACAAATAAGTTATTGTTCGGAAACAACAAAAATGCTTCTTTTTGGCCCTTTTTGGCCCCTAATTCCTACACCGTTAGTACCATAACCCCCAAAATCAATCCCAACCTTCCTTTTGTGGTATTGAACCTTCTGGTAAAATTTCATAGAGATCCATTCATTTGAACTAAAGTTATTGTCTGGAAACCAAATTTGTCTTCAGACGACGACGCAGACGACGACATCATACCAATATAGACGCAAAAAATATTTTTTGTGGTCATATAAAAATTACATAAAGGTCGAACGGAGGGCAAGGCTGTAGGTCAACATCAAATTGAACAGAGAACAGTGTAAAGTTTCTATTGTTCTACAGGTATGTGATAAGATGTTATTGTGTTTTACCAGGGGGGATAAAACTTTTTGTCATGAAATTGTACTTATATAAATATAAGTGTACAACCCTAAGAAACAAACTTATATTCCATCAACTCTATCTTTTCTTTTAATCTTAATAACTTTTCCATATGAGATTGAACAAATTGAATTTTTGCCATAGTACTTTCAACAATATAGAATTTCTCAACATAACTTTATCGAAAACGAGGATTTTTATAGCAATTTAAAATTTCTCAACATCCCTTTTTGCTACATGATTTTATTAAAACAAAATACACAAACTAAATAATTCAGGATTATTAGTCAACACTTTTGGTGAGATTAAATTGTAGATTGATGAATAAACAATACTAAAAGCAACAATAAAATTACCTATTCCTAACTCCTCTAACACCTGTTCTATAGCTTTCATTTTCTTCTGACCAATAGATGCTGGCAATTTCATCTACAAATAAATCAAAGATATTTCATTAAGTAAGAAAAATGGAAGCTTTCTCTGCATTTAACATCATTCACTATGCTTTTATTTTTTTAAAGATTCATTATCAAAATAAGTAAGGATATTAAAATATCAAATATTGTCAACAATATTATCCAGTGGTCTTGAACTCTTTTGTATATTTCCACATTTATTGGATGACTAAAGCTGTCAATGAAAGTCTTGTTTATTGTTACTTCTTTCTAAAATATTACAGGTGTAATATAGAACTACAGCAATCAGAAATGACAGTAAATCCTTAGTATTTCATTAATATAATATTGAATATTTTGAATATGAAGATAAAGATTGCTATAGACTTACCCTTTGACTTCTAAGTGATACTCCTGAAGCTTTGAAATCTGCAAACTTTATACCTGACTGGTCTGGATTTACCTGTATCAAGAATATATAAAGGTCAAGTTGTTGTTAACTGTTCTTTATTTTGGATAACTGAGATTAAGTCTTTTAACTTTTGTGTAGTCAGTCGGACATTCTTAAAATATCATTTTTCTTTTCTTTTTTTCACTGAACAGACTGCTGTAAGGCATTCAAAACACCCATTGATAGATACTATCGTCATTTTGTCACAAAATGAATACTAATTTGTTTTATCTGACAGCACAAGGATAGAAATGAGGAACATCCAGTGTTTTCCCTACAAATTTCATATAGCATGCTGGTAAACAGCGAAACCATGAAATACCATCTTGTTTCTAGAATTTATAAAATACTATCCATAACACTTTCTATAAGGGAATCATTTTTAATAGCATCACATTTAAGCAATATAGCATCACATTACCATGATGCTAAACGGCCCTGGGGAGAACACTGAGGAACATCAGTTGTTTAAAGTTGAAGTAATCTATTCATTTATGAAAGACCAGAGAGTTACTAGCACTCTGTGCAGCGCTCTAAATTATGAGAAAAATTCAGTTTGACATCAATGCACACCTTGTACTGAATTTTAATCAACTTCTTCCACAAGCATAAGTTACGGATAAAATAGTATCATAGTTTCTTATCAACTGTTAAAACATGATACCTTACCTTTTTATTTCAAATCATAAAAAATATTATTTATAAATTTAGAATTATATAAGAACTATAGGTACAAGTGTATTTATCTAAAATTATGGACCTTTCAGCTTCACTTTTTTTTTTTTTTATCTTAGTCAATTACACTGTTAGACACATATATGGTTTTTGAGTATATGCCATAGATTCCTAGTTCTGGAATCTGGAGTAATGACATTTAATAGGCAGCTAAAGTCAGCTTTGGCTGCCTAAAGACTATGCCAGTAGGTCACTATAAACTCTTCCATATAATATGTTATGGGAGAGTGTATAATGTGAGTTTGCTCACTTTAGGTTCTGTAATCTATACATTTAAAACCTACAACTTCTTTGAATTTCTGTTGCAGATGTATTTTTTTCTTTGTTTGTCTTTTGTCTGCCTTTTTACTGTCTATATTACTATCAGCTGCTGTTATAAGTTTCTGTAGATCCTGTGTTTTCTTCTCTCTCTCTTTCTTCCTCAATTCAATCTTTTTCAATTCAGCTATTAAAAGTTCTTCCTCTTCAATCTATAATAGAAAGAATTTTGTTTGATGTGCTTCAATGACACTTTCTAAACATAAGCATTATTCATGTTGGAGGATAGTGCATTATGCAAATTAAACCATTAACCACTGGAAAGTAACAGACAAATTATATCACATATTATTAGATCTCAATAACCTTGGGCAAATAACTAACATACTAAAGCATATTCTAGTAGATCTCAATAACCTTGGACAAATAACTAACAAACTATAGCATATTCTAGTAGATCTCAATAACCTTGGACAAATAACTCACAAACTAAAGCATATTCTAGTAGATGTCAACAAACTTCAGCAAACTCAGAAGAAACAATGAACTATAATTAAGAATGGATTGATTGCCTAGGACAAATTTTTACTTGAAACCATGTCTTCAGACACCAAAAATAAAACATAATATCATGACTAAAGTCGTGTAAGATGTTGTACCATAACATTGTATATGGAATATTAACAGAAATATTTAATCAAATGTTTTGATTGATTGATTGATTTTCAGTGTTTGAAGCCACTTTCAGTACTATTGGCTATATCCTGGCGTACTGCTCTTATAGGTGGAGGAAGCCAGAGATCTCTGAGAGAACCACAACCTTCACAGGAAAACTGACAATCCTAGTCAATTAAGATTGGAATCAAACACACCATTTGCAGCATTTGAACTCACAACCTCAGTGTTGACAGACTAGTGATACAGTAGATGAACTACTTTGACAACAAGGTCACAGAAGCCCCATAATGAAATGTATAAATAGAACACAAACCTTTTCTTGAGTCCTCTCAAACAATTTTGTCATTTGTAGTTTTCTTTTTCTTTCATGTTCTGCATCAAAGGCCCATATCTTTGGTTCTGTTCCCTGTGGTGCTCTTACCTGAAATTAATAGTTTCATGTTCCAATATAATTATGGAAATATTTGAGGTCTCTGTCCTAAACTTTCATATTCTAGTTATCAATAAAAAAAATCTTACAATTATAAAGTATAGAAAAAAAAATAAATGGGGAATGTGTCCATGGGACACAGACGATGACTCCGCTAGCATATCATATAAAGTTATAAAGGGACATAACTGAAGGACGGTAAAAGTGACACTACCCAAATTTGTACTTGATCTGAGTTTTGTGGTAATTAGTATTGTGTATAAGTTTCATAAAATTTGGTTGAGGCAAACTTGAGCCAAAGAACGGAAACGATTAATTCAGCAATTATTCCATTTGTAAAGGGGCATAACTATAGAACAATAAAAGTGACCCCCCCAAAATTGAAACTTGATCTGTATTTTGTGGTAATAAGCATTGTGTATAAGTTTCATAACATTTGGTTGAGGCTAACTTAAATTAGAGAACTGAAACGAAAAATTCAGCAATTTTTCCATTTGTAAAGGGGCATAACTCTAGAACGGTATAAGTGACACCACCAAAATTCTACCTTGATCTGTGTGTTATGGTAATAAGCATTGTGTATAAGTTTCGTAGTATTTGGTTAAGGCTAACTAAAGTTAGAGAACGGAAACGAAAAATTCAGCAATTTTTCCATTTGTAAAGGGGCATAACTCTAGAACAATAAAAGTGACACCCCCAAAATTGAAACTTGATCTGTATTTTGTGGTAATAAGCATTGTGTATAAGTTTCATAACATTTGGTTGTGTCTTACTTAAGTTAGAGAACGGAAACGAAAAATTCAGCAATTTTTCCATTTGTAAAGGGGCATAACTATGGAACAATAAAAGTGACGCCCCCAAAATTGAAACTTGATCTGTATTTTGTGGTAATAAGCATTGTGTATAAGTTTCATAACATTTGGTTGAGGCTTACTTAAGTTAGAGAACGGAAACGAAAAATTCAGCAATTTTTCTATTTGTAAAGGGGCATAACTCTAGAACGGTATAAGTGACACCACCAAAATTCTAACTTGATCTGTGTTTTATGGTAATAAGTATTGTGTAAAAGTTTCGTAGTATTTGGTTAAGGCTAACTAAAGTTAGAGAATGGAAACGAAAAATTCAGCAATTTTCCCATTTGTAAAGGGGCATAACTCTAGAACTGTTAAAGTGATGCCCCCAAAATTCATACTTGATCTGTGTTTTGTGGTAATAAGCATTGTGTATAAGTTTCATAACATTTGGTTGAAGCAAACTAAAGTTAGAGAACGGAAACCAACTTTGGAACGTACGTACGTACAGACGAACAAGCGTAAAACTTAATGCCCCCTCCGCTACGGCAGGGGCATAAAAATCACTATCTTTATATCTATGGATAACTTTTTATACTTTCTATAACAATGCACTTACTTCAGATATGAAGTATCATATGAATTTCAAAATGTACATAGCTGTAATCTATTATCAAATTAGTTCTAACAGTAGATCCATTTACATTTATTTCAGAGTTGTATTTTTTACCTCAACATTTTATTCTTACATTAAACATTATATCCACAAATAATAATTTTTTGAAACGCTTAGAATCAAGACAATTATTATAGATTCTTACCTTTGTAAGAATACTACATATTCCATAATATCTTTCTTTAAGATCTTCAACACTTCTGTTGGCATATTTTTCTCTATCCCATCTATCATGCATGATTACAAATCGAAGGTCAAATTTTTTACAAAGGTCAAACAAATGATCTGTTTCCTGTCTTGTCCAATTGTCGTCATGGAGATGTTGTTGATATTCAAGGTCTGAGTATGTTGGTGTATCTACAGCCTATAGATAAATGAAATATTAAAAGTTAATCAAATAAACACTTGTCATCATCATCAGTTACTTTAAAGAGATTTATAAATCATTCTATATTACAAAATGTATTTGTTAAAATGAAAATAAAACATTTGGAGGAAAATGTATACCAATAATCTTGAAATTTTTAGTATTTATATGAAAAAACAGCACTCAAAAATCAATCAATCATTATAGTTTATTAAACCTTTTGTTGTATGAAATGGTACTCTTTACAGTCATATATATTATATAAAGAGTGTATGAAATAAACTCATAGTGCTTTAATTAACAATGTTTGCCAGTTATTCTGTTGAAAGGTCAGTGGTTCTCCCTGGGCACTCTGGCTTTAATTAACAAGGATTGCCAGTTATTCGGTTGAAAGGTCAGTAGTTCTCCCTGGGCACTCTGGCTTTAATTAACAAGGATTGCCAGTTATTCTGTTGAAAGGTCAGTACTCTGGCTTCCTCCAACTGCCATGATTTAGCCAAGAATGCTTAAAGTCGCATTACCAACACCAACAAGCAATCACACAATCATAGTGCTAAAGCTACAATCAGACTGTACATCTCAAGAAATTCATTTATTGGTTATATCTGTAACCGGAGAGCATGATTCTATATACAAAATCATCTTTGTCTCCACAGGGACTCAAACCCGGGACCTCTGTGTTACAAGGCAGCGCATATACCGACTGAGCTAAAGAAGTACTTCCTTAGCTCAACCGCTTACGGCTGACTAAGTATCTACTACTGAAGGTAAGCAATCCCGTCACATATCAAATCGTAAAGTTACTAGCATATCCGAAAAATGAATATATATATATAATAAAATGCTCCGCTGGGCACAGCTTGATACGACCTCAGAGGTCGAACCCTGAACAGTTGGGGCAAGTATGGACACAACATTCAAGCTTGATACAGCACTGAATTTGGATTGTGATTAAATATTTGACACAGCATAGGTTTCTGACACAGAATGAATGTGGTCTAAGAACTTAAAAATTTTTAATTTACCTATTCAAACCATATCATTATTATTTGCTTTTATATATAAATCAGAAATAACCAATTTACAATGGAAAATTTTAAAGAAAAAAAAAATCCCTCCCCAAAATTTTTTGAACCCCCTTATGATTCATCACCCCCAAACTCAATCCCAGCCTTCCCTTTGTGGTATGGAACCTTGCAGTACAATTTCAGAGAGATCCATACACTTGAACACAAGTTATTGTCTGGATTCTAGAAAAATGCTTGTTTTTAGGCCCCTTTTTGGCCCCAAATTCCTAAACGTTTAGGGCAATTACCCCCAAACTCAAACCCAGCTTTCCCTTTGTGATATGGAACCTTGTAGTACAATTTCATAGAGATCCATACACTTACACACTAAGTTATTGTCCTGAAACTAGAAAAATGCTTGTTTTTGCCCCTTTTTGGCCCCTAATTCCTAAAATTTTGAGGCAATTACCCCCAAAATCAATCCCAGCCTTCCCTTTGTGATATGGTACCTTGCAGTACAATTTCAAAGAGATCCATACACTTGAACACAAATTATTGTCTGGAAACTAGAAAAATGCTTATTTTTGGCCCCTTATTCCTAAATGTTTTGGGCAATTACCCCCAAACTCAATTCCAGTTTTCCCTTTGTGATATGGAACCATGTAGTACAATTTCATAAAGATCCATACACTTACACACTAAGTTATTGTTCTGAAACTAGAAAAATGCTTGTTTTTTGCCCCTTTTTGGCCCCTAATTCCTAAAATTTTGAGGCAATTACCCCCAAAATCAATCCCAGCTTCCCCTTTGTGGTATGGTACCTTGCAGTACAATTTCAGAGGGATCCATACACTTGAACACAAATTATTGTCTGGAAACTAGAAACATGCTTATTTTTGGCCCCTTATTCCTAAACATTATGGGCAATTACCCCCAAACTCAATTCCAGTTTTCCCTTTGTGATATGGAACCTTGTAGTACAATTTCAGAAAGATCCATACACTTACACACAAGTTATTATCATGTAACTAGAAAAATGCTTGTTTTTTGCCCCTTTTTTTGCCCCTAATTCCTAAGATTTTGAGGCAATTACCCCCAAAATCAATCCCATCATTCCCTTTGTGATATGGAACCTTGTGGTACAATGTCAGAGAGATCCATACACTAACACACAAGTTATGTCTGGAAGTTACAAAATGCTTATTTTTGGCCCCTTTTTGGCCCCTAATTCCTTAACTGTTGGTCCCATAACCCCCAAAATCAATCCCAACCTTCCTTTTGTGGTATTGAACCTTATGGTTAAATTTCATAGAGATCCATTCACTTAAACTAAAGATAGAGTGCGAAAACCAATGTGTCTTCGGACGACGACGCCGCCAACGTCATACCAATATACGATTTGTGGTCGTAAAAAAATTGCAAGATTCAATTTATGTGCCTAGATAATGAAGTAACCTGGAGATAATTGGTGTGTGCAGAATTAAATGTGTATCACTACATAACTCAATTTCTGAACAGTGTAATACCTTATTAAACCTTGCAAAGGGATAATCTTTCCCTTCATCTGCTACTCTCCTCCAGTGATGAAATACTGCACCATCCTGGAATCATAAAATGTTCTTATTATAACTAAGACATAACTCTACATTAACTATCAACAAAATGTATTTTATCTTATGTTTAATTGTTGATCTTATCTCAGGATTTTATGCTTGTTCAAAAATCAATGACTCAAAGTTAAAATAACAGAAAATTTATCAATTTGACAAAAAAATGTCAATGTACAACATATTACCATTAATTTCAAAATTTAAAAAACAATATCTTATATAATATCTTACTTTAAAAGTATATGTATTGTATACAAACTTGATATTAGTTTATTCAATTTTAAACTTTTGTCAAAGTTTGACCGTTAACCTACTTTTCTAGCTGGATTACTAAATGGCATCCATTTCCATGGTCTAACTTTACTGATGCCAATCTTAGCTTTCATCTGTTTATATCCTTGGTTAGTATCTGTGGGTATCAGTGGTGGTGCATCTCTGTAAATATAACTCTATATATATACATTTACATTATTTGCAAATAACCATTTAATTTCTGAATCATGTACATGTATTGTAACTCCAAATGAAATAAAATCAAATAAAGACATGAATGAATTGTAAAAATCAAACGTTTAATGGTCAACATTTTTGTATATCCGAACAAACTTTATTGCTCGACACTTGACTTTGTGGAACAAGAATTATTGCTTTAGGGTTTGATTGCTTAAACTGAATTTGAAAGAATTTTTATACAGATATAATTAACTTTTCAATTAAAAATGATCAAATCCTTAAGAAATTCAAAATATACTTCATAAGGACTTCAATTATATCACTGCATGTAGCTGCAGAAATCTACAACAATCAACGCTTTAATTATATAGATACACAAAAATGCCTTTTTGGAAGATGTTAAACTTTGACAGTTTTATCTTACTTGTTATCTGTCTATAACAGCTGTTTCAAGGAGAATGTAAGCTTTATCGGCAATTTGTACATTTCCCTTTGATCTTACTGCCGAATATTTGGATGATCTTGGACAGGACTTGATACTCGAAAATATTAGGCAATGACGTCATGTATCAGTGCAGCAACGTCACATGTTCATGTCCGTCCACTTCAATTTATCAATGAAATGCACGCGACTTTATTCATACAACCTAACAACTATCCCAACATTTTGTACACGTAAAAGTAGTTTTACTTATTATTTCATTTTACTTCATATTCTGAACAAAAAAAATACAGTTAAGACAAATTGCCGATAAAAAGAATAATGGCATTTTATTTTTTTATACTGACTTCATCAGCTCGAATATCAGCTCACCCTAGCGGGCTCGCTTGATATTCTTGCTGATAAAGTCAGTATCAAAAACAAAAATGCCATTATTCTATATATATCTGAGATAAAGGTCTGTCTGTTTTGCATTCTACTTTTTTTTAAACTTGTTATATATGACAGTTTGACATGCAAAAACATTGTGACTAAACTAATATTTTTCTTACTGTTTTACAGTTTTAACTTACTTGTTATCAGTCCATAATAATCCCCAGAGTTCTCTGTGCATACCCTCAGGTCTCTTAAATGATATATCAGACTTTCTTATTGGTTTCTTCTGTAAATAAAAAACAAAATCAGTGTATAATCAAAATAATCAGATAATATCTCGTCTGAAACAACAATCAAACAAAACATATTTATAAAATTCTAGTATTGCAGCAAATAATATGGATCCTTTACTTATTGTGTATGCTTATACAATTACATATATTACAGCTGTCTCTTACAATGTCAAACATAGATAATTTGAAAATTCCTATCAATACATGTGTGTATGACAACACAAATGTATACATGTATAATCTTTCATAACAAAATAATATCTGTCTTATGTCTCATATTATTTTTGAAAATTTATGTGTACTTCAGTGTTGATCCTTTTGTACTTGATTTTACATTTAATAAAATTAGTTTTAATTAGTAAGATGATGAATTGCCAACATAATAAAACTGTATTCTTACCTTATTATCATTAAGAAGAGCATCTTTTGTCATAAATTTACTTCCTTGATCAAGTTCTAATATATCTCTAACATCTGATCCACCACCTTCCATCTTTATGTAGCTGAAATTTAAGTCATTAAATATGTTAGATTATCATTGAACATTTATAGTTTTGAGTAGTGACCAGGAAGGCAGATCAATAGATTGACCTGTATTCTGTTTACATGTATAGTGACCAGGAAGGCAGATCAATAGATTGACCTGTATTCTGTTTACATGTATAGTGACCAGGAAGGCAGATCAATAGATTGACCTATATTCTGTTTACATGTATATTGACCAGGAAGGCAGATCAATAGATTGACCTGTATTCTGTTTACATGTATAGTGACCAGGAAGGCAGATCAATAGATTGACCTATATTCTGTTTACATGTATAGTGACCAGAAAGGCAGATCAATAGATTGACCTGTATTCTGTTTACATGTATAGTGACCAGGAAGGCAATAGATTGACCTGTATTCTGTTTACATGTGTAGTGACCAGGAAGGCAGATCAATAGATTGACCTGTATTCTGTTTACATGTGTAGTGACCAGGAAGGCAGATCAATAGATTGACCTGTATTCTGTTTACATGTGTAGTGACCAGGAAGGCAATAGATTGACCTGTATTCTGTTTACATGTATAGTCTCTTGGTGTCTTTTGCCATCCTGTTACTATTTGAAAATCAATTAGAATGCATATTGAATTTTATTATTTTGATAACCTCTTACTTTCCTATTCAAATTTAGCTACTCAAGAAACCATTATAACTGATTTTCATTATATGATTTATTCATTTATTATGCATATTTTCAATATTTGTGTGTAACTGATTACTACAATGTATAAACAAATTATGCCTTTTTTATGAGGCGAATTAATTAGCATAGAAAATATCTTGTATTTTGAATCTATGAACTGCATACAGAATTAATATGTCTTCCAACTAAATATCCATCAGTATACCTCCAACCAATTTACTCAGTACTGTAAAGATTTCATAAGCAGTCTGAGAAAAAGTATGACAGTGTACATGTACAATGTTAAAATGATAACCTTTAATCATAAGCTTATTCAAAGGACAAATAAGCTTACATAAAATGTTTCTGAATTTATTGTAAAAATTAGAATGTGTCCTGTTTAGTAATAAGGCTTCTACAGGGACGGGAAAATACTTGTACTTGTGGTATCAAAGAGAGAATTTAGTAAAAGTTTTAAGTACTTAGTGTGAATGAAAACTCAGACTTAATAATTCACCAATCATATTTACATTCGCCCAACTGAGAACTGGCTACACAGAACTAAACTACTACAAGAAACGAATAGGCCAAACCAACCCATAGAGTCATGCAACTATAGAGCACCTGAAACACCTCACCACTTTCTCTTGGAGTGTCCTTGCTATGAGAATGAACGAGAAAATATGTTCCATTAAATATCCAAAGAGGTCAGGATCCAAAACCTGAATTTAGCTACTATATTAACCAGACTAGAAGGAAAGAACATCGAGAGATGAAAGCCAAACTACTAACAGTGGCAATTACATCGACAGAACTTGCAGTTTTGACACCGCAGTTCCTCAATCCCAATCTTAACCAGCGAATACGCTTTAAAATCCACAGAGAGAAAAATACTTGGAGCATAAAGCATGAAGGAGTAAACCTGCACATTCAAGATGATTCCAGGCAAAGGGCCTTAAGATTATTTCCTGGGATGTAAACATCATTTTGCTGTGAAAAGAAAAAAATATTTACGACTGGCCTACTTGGAAGGCCTGCTACAAATGATTCCTACAATAAAGATAGGCTTGTAACATGCACCATTTTGTAGATTATTCAATACAGGTTTATGACATTTCAGTGGGATTTAGGAACAAGTAATTGAAATATAGCAAAAATTGAAAACCAAGTGTCATTTCTTAATAAACTGTTATCACAGAGATTTGTCTCGCCTTTTTGTAATTTTGATAATGCAAATGTTGAAATTATAAAATAGCAACACTTTAACATGTAAGTTATGTAAATATTCAAAGTCGATGAACCATGACTGAAGTTACATGGCTAAACAATCTCCATGGAATGAGATGTGCCAATGCTAATACAACTGCATACCAAATACCATTGACTTATTATAAGTCGTTCCCTTTAAACAAACCTAAACACAAACATTATGTAAAAGTTTCAAAGTCAATGAACCATGATCAGGGGTGGACAAATAATCTCTATGGTAATGAGGTATGCCAATGCTTATACAACTGCATACCAAATATCATTGACCTACCACTAGTGGTTCACCATGAACTAGACCTAATCACAAACAAATACATTGTTGACGCCGCCGTTGCCGGAAACAGCATACCAATGTCTCGCTTTATGACTCCGTCAAGGCGAGACAAAAATGCAAGATGTACCTTGTGTTATATAAAGGTATACAGAGTTTTTTCTTCTTCAAAGATTAAAAAAGATTAAGAAGCATATTTAATATTGATTGTTTGTTGCTTAACGTCCATTGGCAAATATTTCATGCATGTTCAGGACCAATGCAGGATGTTTCAGCCACAATGCCAGTTCGTCCAGAATCATTTGGGACATACTGCCAGTTCAGCCATACTTTGTAAAGTCGTTTCAGCCATGTTTTTTATTGTTATAAAGTTAGAAAAATATAATTGTTTCTAGAAACAGATGTTGAGAACCAAAAGTAAAAATACATTTTAACCAAACATTTATTTTCCTTGATAAAATTGATAAATGTCATAAAGAAAATTTGTAAAATAGTGATTACCGGTATTAATAAAAAATGAAACTTTTAATATACCAAAAAAAATATGATAGTTATTTAAAAAGTGAAGAAGCTTGTTGTTTTTATCAGAAATATATATATATATATAAACAAGTCTAAATTGAAAACAACATTCAAACCTATGATTGTGTTGGATAAAAAACGCAATTTTTATATGTGTGCATGCAAAATAAATTTCTTGGTAGAGGGGTCCTAATACAGCACAAACAAGATTTTCCAAAAGACCAAAAAAGTGAAAAAGTATATTTTAACAAAACGCATTTGACTAGCAGGTCGAACAACGGATGTTCTTAAACCCTGCTGAATGCCATTGGCGATTGCCAAATAAACGGATCACTAGATGTAACAAAATGGATCTAATTATTAATTTAATGCCAAACAGAAAACAATAAACTTGCGGAAAAGATGGTATACCCAAACAAAAGGTGCAAAAATTAGTACACTATATCCAGATTTCGACAATTAATATCTCTTCAGTGATGTTAGGAATCGAAACGGTATAATAAATTTTGGAAGGCCATATAATTTACCTAAATTTTGGATAGACTCTTGAATTTTGAAGAGTCGAAATAGGATGAACGGATCATATAAAGCCACCAAAGCCCCAACACAGCAGATGGACATACCATAGATATAATAGCCATAGATAAAGTACTGGACCCACATCAAAAGCAGATGATATATGCCGAAATTTTATCACCCTCTTATTATATACATGTCACGCTTGGTGTTAATTAGCCTTCATTGGCAATTGCCGTCTATCGATTTCTAATAAATTGTGAATCGGGAGACTTTTACACGAATGTGCTACGTAATGACTTTTAACAATAATAAAAAAACGACTTTTTTTTTTAACTCTGCCAGGTCCAAAGCTCAGATAAAATAGGAGGGAAGTCATGAGAAGTAAATATTGTAAAAGCGCAAATGACCTATATAAAAAGCGCAAATGTCCATTTAAAAAAGCACAAGCGTCCTATGTAAAAGCGCAAACGTCCCGCGTCCATTTAAAAAAGCACAAGCGTCCTATGTAAAAGCGCAAACGTCCCGCGCCGGAAGGGATATATAGCTGTATTTATAGTACGAATCACACCTCTAACACAATTGTAAGAAGGAAGAGGAAAAAACCATGAATGACACAGGACAAAACTCCTATATTTTCATTTTATCATAGCCATTATAACGCTTAATCTATATATTGTTTACTTCAAAAATGAAATCGACAATCAGATTTTACCACCATCTATTTAATAGCAAAACAAGCACAAAAATGGTAAGCGGAAAGGTATATAGAAGAAACAAATTCAGAGACATGATTGTGCTATTTCCCAAATATTTAATGTATTCAGTACTGTGTCCACTACATACGTTTTCTTCACCAAACGGCGTTTAATAAGTTTATAATGTATTCCTTTTTTTCTCTTTATTTTCTAAAACTTCGTGTTACGACAGAAAGTTTCAACACTTGTAAAAATCTTTTTTCTTTTCTAAAAAATAATACTTTCTTCTTTCTGGCATAAAATATGATTACACTATTTTGAATCTCGATAAAAAAGAAATTTCTTTAACTCGCCATAGAAAAATTCGACCAGGTTCGACCTCTTAACCACGTATACCATCAGTAAACGATATGTCTCCTCTTGTCAATCATACAGGTCTTATTTTCCGAGTGCATCCGATGCAAGTGCTATGACAATTTAATTGTACATGCCTGTTAAGTCCATTTTCCATGATTTCTCTATTTTATTATTTCAACAACAGCATAACCTTTTCATTTGTTGACCGATTTTCTCCAAAAAAATTACAATCCGAACAACTTTTACAACCAGACGCTTTATATTGCTTCCGCGTCACGGCATATTATTACTTGTGGCAGGTAACGTATATTAATTATCGGTTGATAAGACGAGTGCCCGATAATTTAAATATAATTATGATAAGTAATTAGTCTATTGGGAGGATGTCGGCAAATATCATCTACATCATAGGCCACTACGCGCAGTGCCCTGCTTTTGATATTTCAAAGGAAACTACATGGGGCTCAGTGTGACAAATTCTGAGTACTTTATCTATGGCTATTATAAGGGGACGAAGTCCCCTATTACGGTAGAAAAATCAATAAAAAAAAAAAAAAAAAAAAAAAAATCGGGAAAATTTCCCGAAATTTTCATTGTACTAATGAACTCAAAATCGTTAACTTTTTTATTTTCAGACATTTTTATTTTCCCGCATTTGCGCAGAAATCTACTTCCTTTTTCCGGTCTCGTTTGCATGAGTCTTTAAGTAAAATATATATTTATCAGTCTAGTAAAATATAGGAAGGAACGCAATACCAATTCCATTTTTAATAATTCCTTGAACGACTTGATATGAAAAAACGTTACCTGATAGCGTTTCTTTGTTTACATTGAATATGACGTCATAATATAAATAACGTCACAACTAAAATTCCGAACAACAGAACCGAAATCGGAAACGTAAGGGTATTTCCGTTCTTTTTGAACAGATTTTGAAGTTAAAACATATGTTTGAATTAAAAAAAAATAATTCATACAGACTTCGTCCCCTTTCACAGGTAACGCCTGCCTCATATTATCTATGGACATACACATTATAACAAAATGACTTTTTATTAAGCAATATTCTTTCTCAAACTTTTGTCAACAGAAGTAATGCATATATATGTTAAGAACAATATGACATAGACTGGCCGAAATGACTGGCCAAACTGGTACTGTGGCCGAAACGTCTCGAAAGCGTCAGGACGACATAAACAGTGTTGTTAGAGTGTATGTTTTATCAAATGGCATAAATGTTTTTAAAATTGGCTTACTGTTCAATCAACTGAAACAAGAAATAGCTTGTCAGTAAATAAGAGGAGGCAACACAGAAGATAGTGTTTACAAAATGAAACAAACACACTTGTCTTGGTTTATGCAGTGCTTAATCTTCAATTATATAGTTGTGTTGTTATCAAACGCTTTAATGACATAAAGAGTTTTTTTTAGTAACTCAATCAGTTGCGCGTTTAAAGAAACGAGAATTTTATTCATTGTATGAAATCAAACTAAACATTGAACATTTATTTTTCCTTTGCGGCAAAGTCCAATGTTGACGTTGAATTTTGAAAATGAGTGTTCGCAGAGTGATATGCAAACAAATTAAACAGACATTCCCTAATAATGCTTTACAAACGTATTGTAAAATACAAACAATTACAAACACCAGACATTTAGCAAGCACAACGACATCAAATAATAAAAAGAGAAATGTATTTAGAGTTTTAGATGGAACTATTTCACAAACTAGCGCGGTTAACATCAACAATGCAAATTTTGAAAAGCTGTCAATGTTGCACAAACAATTTGCTAAAATTTCCTCTGCTGGAGGCGGTGAAAAGGCAATAGAACGTCATACCATTAAACAAAAGAAAATGTTGGTTACAGAAAGACTGACACATCTCCTAGATGATGATGCTGACTTTTTAGAGTTGTCCATGTTTGCAGGGTTGCAAATGGAATATGGAGATATTCCTAGGGCAGGCATTATAACAGGTGTTTAGAAAATACTGAAAGCTAACTCGAGAGGGATATTAGTTTTTAAAGGCAGTGCTTTAATGCCTTTCTAGTTGCCGGGTTAATCCTTCCTTCCGCGATATTCAACTTATCTACGTGGGGGGTCATTAGGCTCCAAGTAGATCCGGAAATGTTGAATTCTCTCCTCTTCTTATTGCGATATAAAATGTTTTTTGTTTCATTTCATTTACATTGGGAAATAGAGAAACGATCATTGTGTTTTGTTAGTTTTAAAAACTTTTGATATATTAGTATTTTGCATTATAAGCAGTCAACCGATTGACAAACTAGAATTATTTGAATTCCGTGTGGAAAGAGCTCGGGTTAATTTCGAGTGTTATCTGCAATCTAGATGTTTATAAATCATTTCAGTCGTTGATATAATAATTAAAGGTCGACTGAACATGAATTATATTATACAATTTAAAGCGCATTTCTGTTTATGCACGTGAACCCGTCGTTATTGTAATTTCGCAGTTATATAAAGTAGCAAATTATCGTTCCTGAATAGGTGGCGCCGTGGTAGCGGATCCTGTTCCTCAACTTCCGGTTTCTGCACTGTGCAACTATTTCAGTTATATTTTTAATTAACGATGCCAAGTACTTGTTGTTGTGTACCTGGATGTCATTTAAGCGGAGGACATGCATTTCCAAATGACTTAAAAAGAAGGAAAAGTTGGATCAACGCCATGGCCCATACGCAGATTGGACGAGAACACGATGATATCGTGGAGTCCATCTCAATCAGCTGTTGTTTGCAAGGCACGTTTTACTGAAAAAGACTACGTGCAGGAAACTATTCATGGTAAAACTCTATTTTCTTTGTGAAATATATAGTTATATATGTAATCGTAATGCGAATAAACCAAAGTCTGTTTACAACCGCAATTATCGTTTTAGAATAAAAGGGGGTGGGTAATTCAAGACGTCATATTTTTTTGGATTACGATTCAATGTGATCTGTTTGAGATTTTTTGGTGATTGCTACAATTATAATGATTTCTTACAAGAGGTATATCATACTGAGAATTATTTTAGCAGTAATTATGCTAATGTATTAATGACAGGAATGCATAAGCTATGCCTCATAGACTTTCTTGAAAAATATCAATGACAATGTTAACAGGAGCAAAACAATGACATGCTCTCATCTATATTATAGTTATTGAGGTATAAACAATGTATGTTTGTTGCATAAGTCTCTCATCGTTTGTCCTTTGGATTTACATAACATACATTGAATCAGGCAAACATAGATTTATCCAGATTGTAATGAATAAATCTAGTTAATATTTCGCCAGGTAGTACAAAGTATACATTGCTAATGGAAGTTCATTTAATTATCAAAAAACTAATGTTTTATAACCTTTTTCAGGGCGCAAACCCACCATACAGAGACTTAAGTCTACTGCCATTCCCAGCCTATTTTCCTGGACCAAGCAAGAGACTGAATCGTCCGCAAAAAGAAAAATCAGGGCAGTTTCCTGTGAAAACAAAAGAACTAAACTTGATGAATATTGTAGTAGAAATCTAGAGGAAAGTTTTGATTGTAAAGTTGGTTTTCCTGAAGAAGTCATTCATACTGCAGAAAGGATTTATGACTGTCCACCACCAACTGCCCAGCTAATGTTGAGCTTCACAGATGGAATTACGCAAACACCATCAATGCCTATGTTTTCAGCAGAGAATTTTGAAATGAAGACACGTGACACAGCCATGCATTTTTATACCGGTTTAGAGTTGTATACTAAATTTTTATTTGTTTTGACCACACTTGGTCCAGCAGCACATTGTTTGAGATACATATATTTTCAAATTGATACGGTGTCAGTTGAAAATCAGTTTTTTTATGACTTTGATGAAATTGAGGCATCATACAACCAACTTTGAACTGTCTAGATTCTAGTAGAATCTAGTGTTAAGAATATTGTGTATACATGGATTGTTTTTATGTCTAAATAGTGGTGTGAGGCTAACACTTGGCCATCTAGTGGTTTAGTCAGGTATTTTTCACCATCCAACTTCAAATTAAAGTTTCCTACGACTTGGATTAGTATTGACAGCACAGAATATCCCCTGATAAAACCTAAAGCTCCTAGAGCTCAGGCAATCTTTTCATCAAATAAAAACAGAAACACTGAAAATTCTTGAATGTTCGACACCTGGTGGTTTAGTCAACTATGTCTCTATGTCACATAGAGCGAATTATTGGACTTGGCAAAACATACAAAATTCTAATAAATCCTATGAATGGAACTGAAACAAAACTTTCATCTGAAATAACATTTAGTTGTTTTATGTTGTGTAATTTTAGAACTTGTATTGTGCCAAAGGATGCATAAATAAAAGTGACGCAATGAATTTTGTTCTGATATATATATATTTACAATTACATGTAAATTGTAATGCATATAAAAATAAGGAGATGTGGTATGATATTCAGTGAGTTTATCAAACTAAAGTGCATAAGAAATGGGTTTAAGCAGTTACAGGTGTTACTGTCACCGTACAATCTCCAACAATGAGAAAAACTCGTACCCTTTAAAAAATTTCAGAGATCTTACAACTAAGTTTTGTTGTCTCACCTTGACTTTGGTGAATTTTTTATATCTGTTGATGTAAATATAAAAAAGAAGATGTGGTATGATTGCCAATGAGACAACTCTCCACAAGAGACCGAATGACACAGAAATTAACAGCTATAGGTCACAGTGCGGCCTTCAACAATGAGCAAAGCCCATACCGCACAGTCAGCTATAAAAGGCCCCGAAATGACAATGTAAAACAATTCAAACAAGAAAACTAACGGCCTATTTTATGTAAAAAAAATGAACAAATATAACAAATATGCAACACATAAACAAACGACAACCACTGAATTACACTTTTACAGGCTCCTGACTTGGGACAGGCACATACATGTACATACAGAATGTGGCGGGCTTAAACATGTTAGCGGGATCCCAACCCTCCCCCTAACCTGGGACAGTGGTGTAACAGTACAATATAAGAAAGAACTATAAAAATCAGTTGAAAGAGGCTAAACTCATCAGATGGATAAATACAAATACAAGTGGACGTGGTCGGGTAGTTGTACATCCAAACAACAAAAAGACACTAAGTACAGATCTGAGAGTACTCGCAGTTACTGACAGCTAGTTCAAAGCCACTAACAACTGATAAAAAAATCTTGCATCTAAGACTAAATTATCAATCCGTAAGCTCCCTTTAGAATTTTATAAATTTTAGATTTTATATTTCTGAGTTATGGGGTTTTATTCATTAAAAAAGGGGGGATTTTCCAGTTTTTGGACAACAACTCAAAAATGCTTTAAGCAGTTCACATGAAACTTTGGTGAACTATTTACAGCTATTGATGTAATCTCCCTATTGATTTTCATAAATTTCAAATATGACATTGAGAAGAAATTGAACTTTATTTGTTTATAGTCTGGCAACAGATTTATTAAGTATTGCGCAACAGCACAGTGTATTGCACAACAGCAAGAAATCTTTAATTGAATATAAATTCAATTCATATAACCGATTTCAAGTTCATTGACTACATTTATTCAGAAACTATAATATGTCAAATATTTAATTACAATCCAAATTCAGACCTGTATCAAGCTTGAATATTGTGTCCATTTTTGCCCCAGCTGTTCAGGGTTGGACCTCTGCGGGTGTATCCAGCTGCGCTCAGCGAATCAGTTTATTTCTTAATTAAGAACTCATTTTTTCATTCATAAATTACTTTATGCTTGGAAATATAATTTTGCTTGGAGTTGAAAGAGTTGACATGTTGCAATGTACATTTACTCTACATAGTTCTATGGTACCAAATCAAAAGTTTATATAAAAGAAAGAAGTCAAAGGTATCCCATCATAGTTTAGTTACATACATTTTTTTTGTACCTGAGGTCGTTGAATATAGATCATTATATAAATAAGGAGATGTGTTATGATTGCCAATGATGAAAAAACTAAGGATTTTCTTATCCAAGGAATAGATTACCTTAGCCGTATTTGGCACAACTTTTTGGAATTTTGGGTCCTCAATGCTCTTCAACTTTGTACTTGTTTGGCTTTGTTACTATTTTGATCTGAACGTCACTGATGAGTCTTATGTAGACGAAACACGTCTGGCGTATAAAATTATAATCCTGGTACCTTTGATAACTAATTTGACTATAAACATAGATAAAAAAGGTACAAACTGGACATAATGCACTAGTTCATAAACAAGTGAGAACAATCGCCTTCATATAGTGCTCAGAATATGACATTCATAAAACTTGTTCAATATCATTAGAGAACTCTAAATCTTAAATACTGAAAGCCACCTCTGATAAGTACACTGTACTATGCAAGATAATGATATAACTGGACTAAAAATACACACAACCTGTAATTAACTGCCTTTACAGCGCTTTCGCGCTTTGATTTACATTTTATATGAGGAAATCCTAACAATCTGTATGTTTCATATTAGGCATGTGTTACATTTTGTACCTGAGAAAGGGGGACAAAGTCTTAACTAGCCTTGTAAAACAGTTTTACTTATTTTTTTCAAAATTAAATTAAATCATTAAAATAGTGTCCATTCTTATATCGTAAACCAAGAAAATAATTGTTTTTTTATTACTTTGTTCAAGGACATTTCAAATATCACTTACAATAATTGAAAATGATATGAGAATGGTGTTACCTGTGACTAGTGGCACTGTATAAATAACTTTTTAAACACTGGCAAATATTTTTACAAAGCTAAAACTGCAGTAAAATGGTTTTGAATCCTACATGTATTTCTAAGGTCATCAATTATTTTTGCATTTCACAAATTATGACATTTCTTACCAATGTATTTTTCAATGTAAACAAAAAAACACTTTCTTCCGATTTTTTTTTTGTATCAAAGTATTATTTGATAGAAAATCTAATAGCTGATTCCTTAAAACTAAGAAAATACTAAGTTTATTATTATAAATATATGTTTATTATTATAAATATATGTGTATCCTTATATAACTGAAATCCACTGCTCGTTGATCATATGAATTTCCCCAGAGAACTATTTTAAAGCTTACATCATGGTAACATGTCCCTCTTACAGGGTTTTCTGACCTTGACCACGTTTACATGGATGATTGATAATGTTCATTTTGTGTAATACTGGTAGTAGAATCTTTTTCTCTAAGACTCTTAACATAAATTCAATCATGATCAGTAAAACACGCTTCATTTCAACTTGTGCATGCTTATTGGAAATCAACAGTACACTTTTCAGCAGACAGCAGCAATCGTAGGTAAGACACAGGGTTCTGTGGGACTGCATTATTTTTTTGTATTTTTGCTGGAAACTTGCAGAATTATTCTTATTGCACTGTTCCAATTTAATGCAAAAATGCCTCATGAGCAAAACAGACTCCTTGGAGCCTCTAGTTTGTAGGATTACAATAGATAGAAGGTTAAGCTTTACAGGAGGCTTGTTTTTCCTTGAAAGCTAAGTACATGTCACTATATATTTATTATTTTAAGGAATTGGTAAAGTTCATGGTAAATGGTGTTTAGTGGTAGCCAATGATGCTACAGTTAAAGGTGGAACAGTATATCCAATTACATTACAGAAACAACTGAGGGCACAAGAAATAGCAGAACAGAACCATCTACCTACCGTTTATGTGATAGAATCTGGAGGTGCATTTCTTCCTTTACAGGTCAGTATATACATCTACCTACTGTTTATGTGATAGAATCTGGAGGAGCATTTCTTCCTTTACAGATCAGTATATACATCTACCTACTGTTTATGTGATAGAATCTGGAGGAGCATTTCTTCCTTTACAGGTCAGTATATACATCTACCTACTGTTTATGTGATAGAATCTGGAGGAGCATTTCTTCCTTTACAGGTCAGTATATACATCTACCTACTGTTTATGTGATAGAATCTGGAGGTGCATTTCTTCCTTTACAGATCAGTATATACATCTACCTACTGTTTATGTGATAGAATCTGGAGGAGCATTTCTTCCTTTACAGGTCAGTATATACATCTACCTACTGTTTATGTGATAGAATCTGGAGGAGCATTTCTTCCTTTACAGGTCAGTATATACATCTACCTACTGTTTATGTGATAGAATCTGGAGGTGCATTTCTTCCTTTACAGGTCAGTATATACATCTACCTACTGTTTATGTGATAGAATCTGGAGGAGCATTTCTTCCTTTACAGGTCAGTATATACATCTACCTACTGTTTATGTGATAGAATCTGGAGGTGCATTTCTTCCTTTACAGGTCAGTATATACATCTACCTACTGTTTATGTGATAGAATCTGGAGGAGCATTTCTTCCTTTACAGGTCAGTATATACATCTACCAACTGTTTATGTGATAGAATCTGGAGGTGCATTTCTTCCTTTACAGGTCAGTATATACATCTACCTACTGTTTATGTGATAGAATCTGGAGGAGCATTTCTTCCTTTACAGGTCAGTATATACATCTACCTACTGTTTATGTGATAGAATCTGGAGGAGCATTTCTTCCTTTACAGATCAGTATATACATCTACCTACTGTTTATGTGATAGAATCTGGAGGTGCATTTCTTCCTTTACAGATCAGTATATACATCTACCTACTGTTTATGTGATAGAATCTGGAGGTGCATTTCTTCCTTTACAGGTCAGTATATACATGTACATCTACATACTGTTTATGTGATAGAATCTGGAGGAGCATTTCTTCATTTACAGGTCAGTATATACATCGACCTACTGTTTATGTGATAGAATCTGGAGGAGCATTTCTTCATTTACAGGTCAGTATATACATCTACCTACTGTTTATGTGATAGAATCTGGAGGAGCATTTCTTCCTTTACAGGTCAGTATATACATCTACCTACTGTTTATGTGATAGAATCTGGAGGAGCATTTCTTCCTTTACAGGTCAGTATATACATCGACCTACTGTTTATGTGATAGAATCTGGAGGTGCATTTCTTCCTTTACAGGTCAGTATATACATCTACCTACTGTTTATGTGATAGAATCTGGAGGTGCATTTCTTCCTTTACAGGTCAGTATATACATCTACCTACTGTTTATGTGATAGAATCTGGAGGTGCATTTCTTCCTTTACAGGTCAGTATATACATGTACATCTACATACTGTTTATGTGATAGAATCTGGAGGAGCATTTCTTCATTTACAGGTCAGTATATACATGGACCTACTGTTTATGTGATAGAATCTGGAGGAGCATTTCTTCATTTACATGTCAGTATATACATCTACATACTGTTTATGTGATAGAATCTGGAGGAGCATTTCTTCATTTACAGGTCAGTATATACATCTACCTACTGTTTATGTGATAGAATCTGGAGGAGCATTTCTTCCTTTACAGATCAGTATATACATCTACCTACTGTTTATGTGATAGAATCTGGAGGAGCATTTCTTCCTTTACAGGTCAGTATATACATCTACCTACTGTTTATGTGATAGAATCTGGAGGTGCATTTCTTCCTTTACAGGTCAGTATATACATCTACCTACTGTTTATGTGATAGAATCTGGAGGAGCATTTCTTCCTTTACAGGTCAGTATATACATCTACCTACTGTTTATGTGATAGAATCTGGAGGTGCATTTCTTCCTTTACAGGTCAGTATATACATCTACCTACTGTTTATGTCATAGAATCTGGAGGAGCATTTCTTCCTTTACAGGTCAGTATATACATGTACATCTACATACTGTTTATGTGATAGAATCTGGAGGTGCATTTCTTCCTTTACAGGCTGGAATATACATATAATCAAACATGTCAACCCCTTAATATTTAAAATTAAGATCATGTGCTTCACTTAATTGGAAAAAAATGGAATTATAAACAGGTTTAACAAACTAGGCTAATTTTTCTCTTTACCTAAGAGAAGATTGATAATCATTTTTAGGTTGGAATGGCCAACCTTATGCTCTACTTGATTACCTGAGGTCCAAGTAGCATATCTATTATCAACAAAGTTAATAGTATGAGTTGAAAGAAACCCTAGAAATTCCCAAATTACTTGTCCACCCCAGGTCCCAATAAGTGTCACAATTGCTTTTCATTTTTAAGATGAAAATACAATATAAAATTGTGTGTTTATATTAAAAAACAAGTAGATTATTACTTGGGAATAAATGTATTTAGTCAATTACTGGGAAATATAGTACTATAAAATTGTATTGTAATTTTATTAGCATGATTCTAATGGAATAGCAGGTTATGTGGTCATCAACATAAAGCTTGATGTGCTTTTATAAAATGATTATTATAACAATTGACAGTTTTATTTAAGAATCAGAAGAAGCACCTTTTGTATAGTTTGATTAGGTTGACTGAAGCATTCTCAGCATTCACATATTTGTATACCTGTATGTCCTCTGCAAGTTTCAAAATTAATGACAAACAGCCATAAAATTTATTGTAGAAAAATGTTTGCTAGTGTGCTGTAAGGTAAAGGACATATTACAATTACCCATCTTGTAAAGTCATGGTCTACTGAAAATAATTAAATGTTTAAATGACCTAGCTACTTTGTTCATCTATTGTCATTGTGCATATATTTGAAAGTTTCTGAGACTGATTAGGATTTAAAAGTCATATGATGAAGGAAAAGTTACTGTTTTAATTGTATGCATTTTGTATTGCAGTCTCAGATATTCAATGATGGTGGACGGACATTTTATAATGAAGCTGTGATGTCTTCCCAGGGAATTCCACAGGTATTGTAATCATATCATCGGAAAAGATGTAAAAAAAACCTGAATAATTATATATACACAGTGAAAGACAAGCTGACTTGTTTTTATTAGTATTAAAGAGGTGCTTTGTTCTTGCTGGTGTGATTAATGGTAGACCATACTCTAAATTCTTTGATATATTGCCAGGCATTATCTACTAGTGTAATATATAGAATAATTTTCAAACCTGTAAATTATTATCTGACTATTACTAGAGAGAAATTTAGTTAGTTTGGTTTAAATATGAAAATATTGAGACCAGATTTAAAAACAGTTCTTTTGTTTTATGGTAGTTACCATGTAATATTTTGTATTGTAAAACAATAACTTTGGATATCAGTCAAATATACTTTTTCCTATGGCAAGTTTTGATATCAATTGGCTATGACAACCAAATGTAGCATAATTTTAGTACAGATGGAAACACAACAAAGTAGACCACAACTAATATTGTCGGAAATTACCTCACTAACAAATAATATTTAAGGAATTTAGTTGATTCTAAATAGGAGTAACTACACAAACAAGGTCAAGTATTTCTCTTCAAACTGGATTTTCAGCAAGCAACAATCAATCTATCAAATTAGCAAAATAAATATAGGTATGATTGCTGTTGCTATAACCTAGATAATTGCAACAAAAGTGGCAGTAAAATGTTCATATTTTTCATTTTTTTTATAACCATGATGATATATTGGTGTTATTTGTAGATAACTATAGTATGTGGAAACTGTACTGCAGGAGGGGCTTATGTCCCAACCATGGCAGATGAAGCAGTTATGATACACAAGAAAGGATACATTTTCCTTGGTGGACCACCATTAGTGCAGGCAGCAACAGGGGAAATAGTCTCTGCTGAGGATCTAGGGGGAGCAACTCTTCATTGTAGGTAAGTTTTCACTATTTCCTTTAGGGCACTCATGTCCTCAATTTCATGGGAAATGATAAAAAGCAAGTTATTGACCCTATTTATCAAGTATAGAATTTAAAGACAATTATGAGAAAGGTGAATGTCACTTAGAATGATTGAATTGATAACAACCAGTGGCAAAATTCCACTCATATTCATGGCGAGCTTTCATGGTGAAATTTACGTGAAAGTGAAACAATATACATGTATAAGCATTATTTTGATTAACATAACATAAAATATTATCATCTTTTATTTTATTCTTTTTTCTTTTCCATTATGCTTCAGAGTGCAGTTTTGATGCAGACACATTATTTTCGGTACAGATCAAAGGCTAGAGTTATAATTCCTGCAGTAAAACTGCAGTAGAAATTGAATTATGCTCTATATTTTACAGTGTGAGTGGTTGTACAGATTATTTTGCTGAAGACGAGGCTGAAGCTTTAGAACTAGGCCGAGATATTATAGCTACGTTAAATATTACAATGAATGAAAATACAACAACTACATCAGAGGAACCTTTGTATGACCCTGAAGAATTACCAGCACTTGTATCTACAGACAATCAAATGGATATCTATAAGGTAGAGTAAGAGGGTCTGGATAGGGTAATGTTTATCTCGTCATACAGACAACCAAACAGATCTATTGAAAATTTGTTGTTGATGTCAGATATTTGGTATCATTGTTGGATACTGTAAATTCAGATGAGGATATTTGCAGTAATGCGCTGACCACACAAAATGACCTACAAAATATGACATGACTACTTTTATATTTTTAGGATGTTTGATGCATCTTATACTAATAATATATTAAAACAATCTTATTGATATGTTTTATACATATATGGTAAGTTATAAAACAAATGAAATATTGTTGTTTTCATTAAAAAAAAAAGATATCTTTTAGTTGATACTTGAAAAGGAATAAAGCACGTCTTCTGGTATTGAATACAAAGATTTGATTGATTGATTGATTTATTGGTGTTTAACGCCATTTTCAACACTATTGTGCTGTTTCATGGTGTTCAGTTTTTATTTGTGGAGGAAGCCGGAGAGAACCACAACCTTCGGTAGGAAAACTGACAATCCTAGTCAATTAAGATTGGAGTCCAGTGCACCTGCCCCGTGCAGGATTTTAACTCACAACCTCAGTATTGACTGGCTAGTGATACAGTAGTTTGACTACTTAGACCACTCCCCCACCTAGGCACCACAAAGATTTGAAAGGCTGAATTTAAGTACCCTTGTTTGACAGTAGTCTGACTAAAGTGCTATCTAGATACTATAGTTAAATACAATTGGTCTTATTTGTCTTATTGATAATCTTGTACAAAAACATGATATAAAATTAGAAAAATTTTCAACTTTTGTAGGTCATTTCAAGAATTACAGATGGCAGTAGATTCCATGAATTCAAAACAAAGTTTGGTGATACTTTAGTCACTGGATTTGCACATGTACATGGGTAAGGCTATACATTATATTCTAGCATCAACAGTTTTCTAATATATATGTGACATTTAATTGAAAAGATATACAACTAAACACAAAATATTTTTCACTTTTGTATTTTCTCTTTCCTGATGATTAATAATGCAGTTTGGTTCAGACACATCATAATTGATATTGAGCAGAGGTACGAGTTCCAACTCCTGCAGTAGAAAATTAAACTAATATCTGAGAATCCTGCTAAAAAGCTTAAAGAAGTAATTTTGTTAAAAAAAAACCTTTTCATTTAGCTATCAATTTCAAACTGACCGCTATAAAAGAATTTATGTATATATATTTAAACTTACTTGTATACATTTGTTTGAGCAGACAACTTGTGGGAATTGTAGCCAGCAATGGTGAGCTGACGGAGCCTGCAGCAGATAAAGGAGCACACTTTGTACAGATGTGTGGAGAAAGGTCTATTCCACTGTTATTTCTACAGAATACTGTCTGGGAAGATAGCACTGTAACTAATGGTAAAATTATCAATCTCATTTCTTTTTGGCAATATTTGCTTACACTTATGGTAATGTTTTTTCTTTACTCAGCAGTAGAATGTTGTTTTTAGCCTGATTGTTGAGGACTTTACAATGAGTGTTAAAATAATTGTATATTGAAACATTTTTATTTTTGAAGACTAACATATTTTCAATACGGTAGTAAAAAATTGAAATAAGAATTTTTAATAACATATGAAAATAAGGAGATGAAGTATGATTGCCAATGAGACAACTATCCACCAAAGTTCAAATAAAGTGGATGTAAGCAATTTTAGGCAACTACACGGCCTTCAACAATGAGAAACACCAATACCGTATAGTCGGCTATAAAAGTTCCTGACATTCAATTGAGCAATAACAAAACAATTTACGAAAAAACAAACATGACAGACATGAACCAACGACAATCACTGAACTACAGACTCCAGACTTCGGACAGGCACATACAGAATGTGACAGGGGTTACCCTAGTTTGCTAGTGCCAAACCCTCCCCTAACCTGGGACAGTTGAGTAACATTACAACATAAGAGCAAACTATAAAAATCAGTTAAAAAGGGCTTAACTCATCAGATCGATACAAAGCAGAAAACATCTAACGAAAACACAGACCAGACGTGGCAGGGTATCTCTACATCCCACAACAACAAAGACAATAAGTAATGATCTGAGAACATGTTTATTGTTAGATTCAAATAGAATAAATGAAAGCAGATTTTTCTTGGACGTGTATCCTAGGTTTAAAGAATGGTGACAAATTAAGAGCACAAGCAAAGATGATGTCAGTTGTTAGTACCAGTCCAGTACCAAGGATTACATTTATTGTTGGAAATGGTGTGGGACCAGTTAGTTATATTATGGTAGGAATAATCTATGCAAATTTAATATTCCTATAGTCAATGACTATAATTGCAATATTCTTATATGTAAAATTGTTGTATTCTTTCTTATTTTCCATCTATAACCCAAATAATGGCAGGTTTTTAAGGTCATGACCAGCTGAAAATATAAAATCGTTTTTTTCGGCTGCAATCCTTTTGTGCTGGTTGCAATTTTTAAGTTACCGATCATTAACACCAAATTTATTTTTTTAAAGATATCAATAGTGCCAGAATATGGAACTCATTTTGAGAAAATTACTTGTATGACTAAATATCAAATAACCTATGCTAACCTGTAACATATATAAGTCCTTAGTAAATTATGATACCATAATGACAATAAAATATGGAAAAAATAGGACAATTGTTGCAATAAGCGAAGTGCAGAAATGAGGTGATGTTATACAACAACAAAATGTACTGCTATCATATTTTCAGATGAGCAGTGCATGACCGTTTAAAAAAAAAAAAGGATTTCTGTCATATCAACATGAGTGGGGTTTCGCAGGAGATAAAAAGAAAGAGCATGATGAAAATTGAAAGAAAATGGGAAAGAATGCTTTCAAATAGAAGTATTTCAATATAGCAAATAGTTATTTCATTAAATAATTTAAAGATATGATATTTAAATTTCAGGGAGGTAAAGCTGTCAGTCCTCATTTTCTATTCTGTTGGCCAAATGCTGTGATAGGCTTAACAGAACCTCAGGTTGTAGCTCAGGAAATTTGTGCAGTATGTACTTTTTCTTAGAAATCATTATTTTGGAAGTTCATTTTTACTTCTGACTTACTTTTACATCTGTATCAAGAACTTACACAAAGTTGCGTGCACAAAAGTACTAACACATCAATGTTCTATTTATAACATGCTTGTCAGCAGGACAGAAAACCATAAGTTCAACTTCAAAATATAGAATTAATATTTCCTACTTCTCCACCAAAAACACTGCATTTTGGAGTAAGAGCAAAGACTGGTTCATCAACACCTTAACATCTGGCTCAAGATGTCTGTGTAGTACAAAGCAGGGTTCATAAAAATATATCGCATTAACATTCTTGATATCAAGGTTCATGTTAGGAGTGAAACTTTGGTGACAAAGTTGCTTTTACAAGAGGAACATTGTTTTCATAACTTCTAAAAGAGATATTCACAATCAGAAACAAAGTAATAAGTTTACATGGGAAACTTAACACTAAAATTTACGACAAAAGGGATAAGCTCATGTTTTTCTCTGACTGTTAATGACGTCTTTACACTAAATCCATTGGATGTTGGATGTGTACTGATTGATATTTTAGTCTTGAATACATGAGTTTTTTTATTAGTTGTTATTGACTTTGAAGTAGCTGTTAGTAACTGTGAGTACTCTCAGATCTGTACTTAGTGTTTTTTTTTGATGTAGGGATGAATAAGTACACTTCCACTTCCACTCTATTTTTGTTAGATGTATTTCTATGTGTATCCATCTGATGAGTTAAGCCTTTTTAAACTGATTTTCATAGATTGTTTTTATGTTGTACTGTAACACCACTGTCCCAGGTTAGGGGAGGGTTGGCACCTTCAAACTAATTTAAACCCACCACATTCTGTATGTGCCTGTCCTAAGTTAGGAACCTGTAATTCAGTGGTTGTCGTTAGTTGCTGTGTATCATATTTGTTTTTCGTTCATTTTTTGGTACAGAAATTAGGCTGTTAGTTTTCTCGTTTGAATTTTTTACATTTGTCATTTCAGGTCCTTTTATAGCTGACTATGCGGTATGGGTTCTGTTCATTGTTTAAGGTGACCTATAGTTGCTAATTTCTGTGTCATTTGGTCTCTTGTGGAGAGTTGTCTCATTGGCAATCATACCACATCTTCTTATTTTTATAATTATTTAGGTCAACGAAGAAGTTTAAAAAGTTGACCCTGCTCTGATTGGAACAGTTTTCTAAAAAAGAATAGTAACTGATTGCAGGAATAAGTCTGTCTATTTTTTTTCTTTTGAAATGCTTTGTGGAGTGTTGTAGTCAATAAGTGTCAGTTCTGGGATCTTTTGTTGTAAAAAATGGTGTTTTTTATTAAAAGGTTAAAGGAAACATACCTAAAGACTACCGGGTACTAAAATGTGACCTGTTGGTCCCAAACTAGGTTAAAATAACTAAAATGAAGCCATCCTTAGAAGGAAATTATTAAGTAAATTTCCACCCAAGAATCAACAAACAAGTTCTTGTTCAAATAAAACCATAAGTTAATAAAGTAAACTTTAGTAGATAGTTGTCTCATTGACATTCATACCACATCTCCATGTTGGATAGTTGTCTCATTGGCATTCATACCACATCTCCATGTTGGATAGTTGTCTCATTGGCATTCATACCACATCTCCATGTTGGATAGTTGTCTCATTGGCATTCATACCACATCTCCTTATTTTTATAAAAAAGGATTTCCTTATAAAAAATAAGTTTCAAATTTGAAAATTTGTTTTTAGCATTGGTTTATGCAGTAAAACATATTGTTAATCAACTTATCCATCAAATTTGCTTCAGTATATTTAATTTATACACTAAATGATGCATTTATTACTGGATAAAAAAAAACCAGAAAACAACAAGTGGAATTATGACAAAGATGACAAACAAATTACATGCATATATATTTATAATATATAAAGCATATTATTATAAATAGATTTCCCGCACAATTTCATTGCAATTTTCACACTGAATTTGGTTTATACACACAAATTTGATTCATAAAACATCTTAAGAGAGAAGAACTTACAACCAAGTGCCTAGCATATAAAGATGCTAGAAAAGAACATTGAACAGTGTTGCAACCAAAAATGTGAATTAAACAATTCATGGTGTTATCCTTTCTCCCTGTCAGCCACAGAATAAAAAGTGTCTTTGCCCTGGAATTTTAAGGTAGTAAAATATATGCATGTAATATTTTTCACTGGACCTTAATTCATCCATCAATCTACATACAATCACAAAGACCCTTAAGAAATGCACACTTACCAGATATATCAGTGTACACTATTAGTGTGAAGATGAATGTCAAGGTAGTTTTTGTAAATTCAGAAATTTTTGCAATGTTTTTATTATTTCAAATAATTGTGACTGAATAGGTAATAGCAAAATTAAAAATTCAAATTTTGGTATCATTATTTGTGTGCAAAATAACACACCAAACTTTCTGAATTAACAGTATACATTGAAAGCCAGACAAATTGAAGGTAAAAGATTATTTTTTTGTTATCTCTTTTTAATTTTTGCTTTATAGTTTACCATTGTTTCATTCATCAGATAAAATGGAATTTTTCTATTTGATTAAGAAAAATTATTTGTGTATTTTAAACTGTTTGTAAAGCTCCTGTTAATTTTTGCAGAGTAAAGAGTCTTTAAGCTCTGAAGACCAAGCCAAAATATTAGAAAAGTGTAATAAAGAATCTACAGCATTTTATGGAGCATCCAGAATGTGGAATGATGGAATAGTACTGCCACAAGATACACGACAGGTATAACTATATTCTGATTTTTAAAAATTTTACAACACCCTTTTTGAAAGACCTTTTGTATTCAAATATTCATACAAGTTAAAACTATGTTCATTATATGTTTGATATGAATTTTGCTTTGAAGGAGGTAAAATGATTTCCAAAAAATATCGTTAATCTGCCAAAAATTGAATCAAACAAAAGTATAGATTAAAGGGGCACTAGCTACGCCATATATAAAAAATCTAATATATGATTTTTTTTTTGTTCAATCATTAATGAAAGTGAAATAGTGAAATAATTATTCGCTTTTAGCCGCCAGTATGGTTCAATTTTGTCAAAATGAGCTAAGAAACATTGATGATGAATTATTCACTTGCAAGTGAATAATTCGACCTCATTGAATCCGTATTCATGTGAACTTCAATTTAACTTTAGCTAGAGATTGATAACACATGAATTGTATGTGTAAAGTTATTTAAAGGAAAAGAATGTCAACATTGAAAGTGAAAAAAAGGTAAATCATTTGATTGACTGATCCGATCCACAAAAAATCATTCTTATACAGGTAAAAACGATGATAAACATATATTTTTAATCTATAATATGAAATTAAACAGACCTAGAAAAATCAAATAGCATGAGTTCGCTTAATCTATTTATATCTTTATTTATGTTTACATCGCTTTTATGGTCATCAGATGACTTTGGAGGTCAACTCAATAGTTAATTAGATGGCGTTTAGACTAAAATACACATGAAACGAAGCTACGTGTTATCATGCCCATGTCCTGTTAACTGTTTATTTTAGGCTTTTAATAGTTTGGATAAATGTTATACATTGTTATAAATCAAATATGAGAATTTGAGTCAAATCGGTGAACATGAATTTGACAGCTAGTGCCCCTTTAATTTATCTGATAGCAGTACTTGACTTTATTAATATAATACTAAATCTTAAATATTTATATCTTATTACGATAGTATTTTACTGGCTACTATAAAGTTACTTATCAGTTACTTCTTATTGTTCAAATTAATTTGTTAAGCATGAGATAAACAAGCCATGACATGTCAATAAAATTCTTACAAAAAATGTACAATTGCTGTCATTAAGTTTTTTAAAAGTTGTCAACTATTTAATAGAGCATTAAGATTAGTAGTGAAACACTTATTAGAAGCAGACATTAAAGTTTTTTTTTGGGGAGAGGGTAGTATAGGTAACTTATAATTTTTTACTTGATTCATCAGTTTGTCTTTCAAATTGACTTATACAGGCATGGGCATAAATATTCTGAAAATATTGTTATTGTTTTCAATAGGGTTCAATCTATAAGTTTATTATATTTGATAGTGTTTGAAATGAAAAGTTGAGAAAGAGCTTGTGATTGAAGAAGTAGAGCTCTTAATTTTTTTCTGTCTTAAAATGATGATAATAAACTGCAATAATATGTATCTAACACTTTTTCTTATTACTAGTTTTCTTCTTTTCAGGTTTTACGGCAGTGTCTAAGTATAACAAGAGCCTACAGGCAACCACAACCTGTCCAAGCACCTGTGATAAGAATGTAGTCTATTTATATCTATAATATATTTTTATATTCATTAACAGTTTTGATTCTTTTTTGACAAGTTAAAAATACTTTTATTATAATTATCTGAACTTGTGAAATATGTAAATTTTCCATTATTTATGACTTTGCAGTAATATTCAAGATTTTATGCAGCATTTTTGTACTTCTAGTTACCATAGTGTTTTGCTTGGTGTTTCTCACATTTATCTACTCCATATCCCATCTTTTTGTTCCAAAGATATTGGATAATATCAGGAATTAAAATTTTCTAGAGTACAATGGTAATGACCTTTATACAAAAAGTAAAAACAACAAAAGTACCGAACTCCAAGGAAAATTCAAAACAGGAAGTCCCTTAACAATTGGCAAAATCAAAAGCTCAAACACATCAAACAAATGGAAAACAACTGTAATATTCCTGACTTGGTACAGGCATTTTCTTATGTAGAAAATGGTGGATTAAACCTAGTTTTTAAGCTAGCTAAACCTCTCACTTGTATGACAGTCGCATAAAATTCCATTATATTGAGAACAATGTGTGAACAAAACAAACAGACATAATAGGTTAAAATGTCAAAAATAGGGGTACAGCAGTCAACCTGTTATAATCTCAATCTATTTAAAAGCAAACAAATATGTCAACAAAGAAAAACAAAATAGCATATAGACAAAGCACATACGCAACATTGAAACACAAGAATACAAAAAATGACAACAGCACATCAACACAATGATGGGATGTACAAGTACCGAGCCACGTCTAAAGGATATTACCAAGAATGGACCAAACAGTAAACATTAATAATTTACAAAGACGAATAAAAGAACACTATAACACATACTTAAGATGATAAACAACGTCAGTACCTAGAATCTATACATCAAGACCATCATGTATTATTTGTGAAGTTGATACGGAATATTTATCAACAAGGTCTTGGTATCTTTCGATGAACATTTTTAGAAAATGGACGAGATGTTCTTTGACATAACCCTGGTTCATCAACTTTTTGCTCAGACACTGGTGACGTTTTACAAAGTCTGAGTAGCAGCTGCAAGCTCTTGAATACCGAATGAGTTGGGAAATGTATATCCCATATGCAGGTGAAGTTGGTATATTGCTACTAAGGTGGGGGAAATTGATAATTTCAAAATTAAAATCGTCTTGTTTGTCAAAGATTCTGATACTGAGATGACGGCTGATGTCAAATTCGAGGTATAAGTCTAAAATGAGGTGGAGGAAGCCGTGTCTGTTGTTTCTTTAATTTCCAGTTCTGGAGGATATATTAATGGAACCCAATCAGAAAAGTTTGGATTGTTTATGGAAAAAATGTTTTTGATGTGAAGATTGCACAAAGTTCAATCAAAACCCTTCTGTGATTGGCTTGATGGCTTTAACTAGATTCCTGGCCTCTATTCTTCCTTTGAGAGTACAAGCAACAGAGTTAAGTGAGGTGGACATTCTTTATATCTTATTTATTAGAGATTGCTGTCATGCAATCATCAATAATATATTTTCAGATATTCAAGCTACAAAATGATGTTTATGTGTATAATGAACAATATGCTGAAAATTTTCACCATCTTCTCCTAAACCACAAGACCAATTTTAACCAAACTTGGTAGAAATAATAAATGGAAGGTCACTTATTGAACATTCACAGTTTCGTAACAATTTGCCGAAAAACATTGACGCCAAGAGCGATCTTTGTTCAATTTTCAAACAGTTTCTACTTCGTATTTTTCTTCTGTAACAGAAACATGTATAATTTACTTATTGCATAGTTTTATGGTGATTTTATATTTAGACTGTAGTCTGTAGAAAGTTCCTGTCAAAATTATCATTCATGGAGTTATCTGCTTATTGACCAGAATGTATCTTCTCTCCTTTCATTACTGAAGTCACTGTCTGGAGTATGATACTTTGTCTCCCACATTAAGTTCTTCAGTTAATCAAGAGCGTTTTCCCAGTTCCTATCAAATAAGTTTATAGTGGCTATCCTTCACAGGAAATATAGAACCAATTGTCCTTATTAACATTTCCCTGCTGATTGTTAAATCTTTACTTCTTTGTATACATTTATGGTGGTACCGTATGTTTGAAGAGCATGATAAATGACCGTTTTGTTATCTCTCTGTTCTCCATTAAGCTCTATTTTTATGAGAGTTTCCCTAGCTACATATGTTTCTATCTTCGTAAATGTCTGAGTGGAAGCTAGGAGATTGCTTGTTTTCTTGTCCATTGCTTTGTATGTTGTTGTGCTGATAGTAATATGATGTCAATTCCAGTTCATAGTAAGCATTATAATATTGGTAATTTGGTACTTAGACTGCTATAACACATGTGTTATAGTAGTCTCAGTTTTGTTGCTGATATAATTGTTGTTGGTAGCAATGTTCTTGACTTGGTTTACATGTGTATGTCGTTTAGTCGTTGATGTGTTAGCACAGCTGTTGTTTTGTAATTTGGTCAGTTCCTTATCTACTTTTAATTTCTAAGTACAAATCTGGTAACTATTTCGTATATTCCTATTATGAGTTAATCATTCCTGTATCGATTAAGACTACTTTTTTTATCTGTAAGGAATACTGTGGAAATTCCCAACGAGTTCCTGTCATGCTCTGAATTTCTCAAATTTCGCCATTTTTTTATATAAATTCTTAACTACATATATGTCTTAATTCTAGGTTTCTGTTCTCAGCTTTATACAATCTTCCCAATGTTCTAGTTTTTCTGTCATATTCTCATTTAGCGGCTGCCTTCATCAATTAAAGTTGTTCTTCCCTTTTCCGCAATCGTTATTCCAGCTTGTTATAGTTAATTCTTTCATCTTGATTTTATCAGTCTGATTAAAATTCTTATCCTGTGTCCACGCTATGTTTACAAAGCCTTGTAAGCGAAGTGGGGACACCTGATTTGTATTAAAATCCTATTGTGTTTTTTTTTTTATTTCTTATTTACAGTATATATTAGATAAATGAAACTTTCAACATTTTTTGGTAGATTTCTTGTTTCTTCTCTCTATGTTGCATTGTGGGTATCCATCCGATTATATGTTAAAGTATGTATGCCCTCTGTATCTGTTGTTTTTTTAAATGTTTGACGGAAGTGTGTTTTCAATCTGTTTATCCTCATTTTGGTCCTGTAAGACCCAAACAGAAGCAAGCGATATTGTTCTTATCAATATATAAAGTAAGAATTGATGAGACAAATAAAGCATTGTCCCATCAACAATTAAACTTTGGAATAATTTGAACATATCAGTTCGAAATGTAGACTCATTATCAAAATTCAAAGTAGAATTAAAAAACCACGACATTCGAAATGAGAATCAACCTAAACATTATTTATATGGTCCAAGAAAATTGAATATAATATTAACCCAATTTAGATGTTCGGCATCCTTCTTGAATTGTGACTTGTTTAGAGCTAACATTATATCTGATCCACCATGTAAATGTGGTTTGGATATTGAGGACATGCACCATTTTTTCTTTGATTGTCCTTTCTATCTAAATGAAAGGGCTATTCTTTTTAATGGTCTCAGCTGGCTTCCCGAAGGCTGCGAGTTGGACTTAAAACTATTGGTTTTTGGAAAAGAAACTCTTTCCTATGATCAAAATGTGCAAATTAATAAACAAGTATTCAATTTTATAAAGAGATCAAAACGATTCCTCGTAGTATAGTATCAGCATATGTAAAACGCACATCATCATCATTATTATCATCATCATCCTAATCTCCGTCGTTCTTTCCTCATTCCCTCTCCTTTTTTCAGTACTATAATAGTTTAGTAATATTAATGTTGTTTATATTATATGATGCATGCTCATGTTCAATTTGTATTGTTATATATATTGTATTGTGGAGAAGACTTTATAAGTATGTTTTACTTGTGTCTGATCCTTGTTTGCTTTGAGCAAATAAAATATGTTTAAACTAAAAAGCATTTCCATCTTTGTGAATTATCATGTTCAACGTCTGGCAATACTGTTCATTTTCGTTCTGCTGAAGTGACTCAGCTAATTTTAAATTGTGTGCATATTTATTTACCTCTAATATCTTTGCTTTTTGTCGAGTGTTTCCCCTTTTCCAATGGTACAGACCGTGCATATGTATGCGAGATCCTTTTGGTTTTAACTTAAAATGTTTTCATCCGAATTATTTCGCAATAATAATGTTTCCAATGTTCATTCAATCAGACATATTATAGCGCTAGATACAGTTCATTCTACATTTGTGACTTGATTACTGGACATATGCGTCTGACATACCTATTTCTGAAAGGTTGCAATGCCGCTTCTAGTTGTTCAGCAAATTTTTTACATCATTTCTCAAAATTTACTTTAGTAGGTTGGTGTTGGACATACTTGTGTGTATTTACTAATAATACTTTGCTCGAACTTGTTAGATTTTTTCCCATTTATCAGCAGCGTTTACTTTGTGAGATAACTTTAATTTCTTGTATCATTAATACTTTATGTTATTTGAACATTAATATCCTCTTATTTGGTTGCAACTGGTGGTTTTTCTTTTATAAAAGTATGTCCATCAGTTGAGCTTCTATAATATGTTTCACAATCATGTATAAAAGTGATGGCATCTAGTTTTTGCGGTAATACCACCTTCTTTTTAGGGTATTAATACAGTAAGTTTAGTACATTCTACTTTTTTTTTCTAAAATCTTGTAATTTATTTACAATGAATTTTTAGTTGTCTCTGAATACTTTGTATCCTGAAGTATATGTTGTTAATTATAAAAGTTAAAATTTAATGTATTAATTTGACATGTATATAATGTCCTTATATCTTATGTTGTATACCCTTTTTTACATTTTACTTATATGGAGGACCTAGAAAGATTTGCTTTGGCAAATGGGGTTTGCCTCTTGAAATACAGATTATCTATTTATTTATTTATGGCAGCACGAGTCAAAATTTGATTGTTGTTGACCAACTTTCACAAATACCCTCTGATTTTGTTTCAGCATGGCGTTTTAAAAAATAATTTGATGTTGGGTTCGTGTTGCTCAGTCTTTACTTTTCTATGTAGTGTTTTGTATACTGTTGTTTGTCTTTTGGTCCTTTTCCTTTTTATTGCCATGTCGTTGTCAGTTTGTTTTCGACTTATGAGTTTGAGTTCCATTTGGTATCTTTTGCCTCTCTTTTTGAAGTGGGTTTTCAATGTTTTAATTGATGTGACAGGCGAACTAGGTAGGTTAAGCTAGAAACCTTTGATAAAAAAAAATTGAATGAAATTTCAAATGAGGTATTCTGCATTTTAAGGGCATACGATACAGTTACAGGGGAGGTAATGACGTTGCTAACGTAAATTGTTAGTTTCGCGACGTCAAACTGTGACTTGTCGGGAAAAGATGCAGTTTTCGACTGATTTTTGTCATTCAAACTGATTTAACTTGAAAACGAGTTCATGGACCCCTCTTTTTTAAAATGACATTTGGTTTGATTACGTATGAAGATTATGTTTACCAATTTTTATGAAAAAGTCAATAGTGCAATTTTTTTAAATTTGATAAATATACAGCAAAAAATGACGTTTTTTTTCTACAATCATGATCATTTGATTAATATGAGTTATTTGTAAAAATGGAATATACAAATTTATAGAACATTTATATAAAACAGAAATTACAAATAATTTAACAAAAAACAGCTTGTGTTTATCTTTTAAAACAAAAAAGTTATGTATTTCTATCGAAAAGAAAAAACGTCCACAAATCCGAATTTTGAGGAAATATCTGAAATTTCAACCTCAATTTACTCAAAAAGTAGCACATGATGGTATATTTTTTATTACATATTTGATTTAATCAGGTAAAAAATAGCCTATATGCAAATTTTCATCAAAATTTCATTATGGGATCAAAACTGTATCGTATGCCCTTAAGATACTTTCAACGTTTTCTTTTCATGATAAATGGTTACTGTTTGCGTTGATCTATGGAATCAAGGATACTTAATGTTATAGTCAAAGCCATCTCTTCTCAAGTTATACGGAAACCATCATCATTTGGTTTATCGTTATGGAATATCTGTGTCACATGAACATGGACATGCTACAATTGTTGTCCCCACAATCCCTTCCTCTTTTCCTCATTTATATCATCACCGAGTATTAGTGGGACTGATTACTCTTCCTATACACATGGGTTTGCCCGCGTTACTGATTACCTTTCCGATACACATGGGTTCACCCGCGTTACTGATTACCCTTCCGATACACATGGGTTCACCCGCGTTACTGATTACCCTTCCGATACCCATGGGTTCACCCGCGTTACTGATTACCCTTCCGATACACATGGGTTCACCCGCGTTGCTGATTACCCTTCCGATACACATGGGTTCACCCGCGTTGCTGATTACTCTTCCTATACACATGGGTTCACCCGCGTTACTGATTACTCTTCCGATACACATGGGTTCACCCGCGTTACTGATTACTCTTCCGATACACATGGGTTCACCCGCGTTACTGATTACCCTTCCGATACACATGGACATGATGGGTTCACCCGCGTTACTGATTACCCTTCCGATACACATGGACATAATGGGTTCACCCGCGTTACTGATTACCCTTCCGATACACATGGACATGATGCGTTACTGATTACCCTTCCGATACACATGGACATGATGGGTTCACCCGCGTTACTGATTACCCTTCCGATACACATGGACATAATGGGTTCACCCGCGTTACTGATTACCCTTCCGATACACATGGACATGATGGGTTCACCCGCGTTAGTTGGTATGAACATGTTGCTTAATCTGTAGTTTTCTGTGTATTGTTTTGTAGATTGTTGATTGTTTTTTTTTTAATCTTTTTTCTATTTTTCAGTGGTATTATCCGTCTTCCTCTAATGCATGCATGGATTTTTGAATTCCCTCCCCGGTATCTTCTTATATAAAAAATGGCTAGTTTAATCACTGTGTGTTACGCCACTTTGCGTTCTTGTGTGTTTTATTTTTTTCATCATTTGATTTGTAATATCAGTCGTAATTAGATATAATTTATTTCTGCATCAAAAACTGTCAGTTCGTCTTAAATATAGGAAATGGCACTTTTGAGAGAATCATTTATTGGAGTGCGATCATTGAACATTACTGCCTTAAGGACATATAAACAGTTTTTTTTATTCAAACACATAATCATTGTTGTTACATCGATTTTATTACATTTAAATCTTTTCTAACATTTAAACTTATTAAGACGGTTGGACGAGTCGACATGTCAAAGCCCATAATTATTCACCCGGAAATGTATACTTTTGTTTTGTAAATACAGTACGTAAGTACTTAGATTATAACATATAAGATTCAGACATGCCTTGGTTGTTCAGCTTACTTAAGCCACGTAGGGACTATGAAATATAAAATCAATATCAGGTAAGTTGTTTAAATTTTTCCTATTGATTTCTGATTATCATAACATTGTAATACTTTTGTCGTCCAGTTGTTATTGCTCGACAGGTATCCTAAAGAGGATGTATAATTGGAATGACGGGTTTAATTTATTTTTTAACTCCTTACATGAGAGCTACGGTTTGGATAAAGTAACAACAATCATGCATGCTGTTTGAGTGTTCCTCATGTGTTCTAGGGATACGAAATGATATTCTCGCGCCTTCAATAAAGTCTTGTATTTATACTAGTGTATATAACATGTATAAGAAACCTGTGTTATTTTATTTTTTGTAACTAGAAAGGGAGTGCAAAGATATTAAGGTTCATGTGGACCCTTTGGCTAAAATGGCTGCATTTTCACCTCAAAATTTACTCTGAGTACAGACAAACCTGCGCATCTGGAAAAGTTTTAAGGCATAGCATGCCCTAGATAAATAAACTTCTAATGCATGGTATGTTTTAGAAAATTAAAAACTTAACTGGATTTAGCAGTACACTTTTTTTCGTCCCTGCAGAAGATGATAAAATTAACAAACAGTTGAGTTTCACTTGATATGGTCCACTCAGATACACAGTTTAAATCACCAATTATTGTCAGGTATCTATTGTCCATCTATTGTCCATGTCAATCAAAACAGTTCACTTCAATTATTACCTGTGGGGAAGTTCTCAAACCTCTTTCCCAACTTAGTTTATTTTGGCACCTTCTGGAGGAATGAAAAAAAGTGCACTGCAAAATCCGGTTAAGTTTTTAATTTTCTAAAACATAAAATATATTTGAATTTTATTTATCTAGGGCATGCTATGCCTTAAAACTTTTCCAGATGCACAGGTTTGTCTCTACTCAGAGTAAATTTTGAGGTGAAAATGCAGCCATTTTAGACGAAGGGTCCACATCAACCTTAAACTTACTATTCTACCATTTCTGTCTATTCACTATCAAATAATTTATGTATGTCACGTTATAGAAAACAATTTCAGTTTCGATATAAAATAAAACTGAATACATACTTGTAAATTTATTTGTCATGTGAACTAGTTATAAATCCGATGTCACGTATATTATGTAAACATTTCATGTTTCAGCATCAAATTATTTGGAAATAGGTAAAATGTTTATAGATTCGATGGTCTTGAAAATTTTATTTCAGCACGTTGAGTTACACAACTATATAGTTTGAAAATGTCTTAATATTAATAATACTCGATAGCGGACCAAATCGGAAGAAATTTTGGAATTTCCCAATTCCGTAGTTTTTATTACCACAACGTTATGAATGTCTGGATGGTGTTAACAGAATGAAGAAATACTACAGAATTATGGAATAAAAAATAAAGAATAGAGAAAAATAGGCAAACAAATAAGAGTAGAGAATAATGGACAAACAATTTCAAAATAGAGAAAATGGCTTAACAAATTAAAGAATACAGAATCGAGGGACCCCCATCCAGACCCTCCCAATTGCGTTTGCAACTTAAAAGTGATGTTTGAAACCCAAGAGTTGACTGGCATATTACAGAATAATACGTCCCGTAAACGGGCGTTTAAAAATTGGCACCGTTAATGTTATTACTACCAATTGGTCGATACCTCTGCTTGTGGACTGTTAGTCCCCGAGGGTATCAACATCCCGGTAGCCAGTACCCTGTACTTGCATGAAAATACGGATATAATATTATTAAAATTTGCTGTTGCAAAATTTTAGAAAATATTTCAAATCAAAGATATCTCCCTCATGCAAAGCTCTGATCCCTTGCCTCGCTCTGGCTATACTTTTTGTCTTTTTGTGGTTTTTAAGCTCTTCATTTGTTTTAATAAGTTTTGGATTTTAAAATACTTTGGCCTCGAACATCACTGAAGAGACATGTATTGTCGAAATGCGCATCTGGTGCAGAATTTGTACCGTTAATGTTATTAGTGTGGTGACCAAGGACATATTTTTATGGATTTCATCTCCCCGCCTAACACTCAACTTAATTATATATCATTTGAAAGAAGAAACCTTGTACTCTAAGAATAAGCCTGTCGTAAGGATCAGAAATGGTCCAATTAAAAAAAAAAACTATAGTTAAAGAGATAATTAAAAAAATTCTGAAAATTTTGATGGATTTTGATTTTGGAAATTTTTTACTCTTTAATATTCTGTCAAATAACAAACTTATCCTAATTTGTTTTCATCAATAGTAGATGTTCGTATAACAACTAAATCCTTAGATATGTGTTCCCAAAATTGTCTCAAAACGACTTTTTTAATTACAAAACTCAAAATACGAAGCTTTCATCCAAATAAATACAAATGACTTTGACCTTACAACTTACGTAAATTTTACGTATAAAAATCATTGCCATGAATGACAATACTGAACCTTTGCTGAAAGAAGTAAGCACTTTCCTGAGTTATAATATTTGATTTTTCAATTTTTCTGTTCTTTTTACATTTCAATAGATTATGGGAATATAAGTTTTCACGAGAAACAGTATAAGATGCTATTACAGAAATTAAAACATTATGAAACCTTTTTTAAGAAGTAGAGGAAAAAAAGTGGTCTCATAAGACAGGTGGTCTTTTAATGAGGTTCAACAGAGGGACATAAAATTAATGGTCTTATAAAACAGGTTTGTGCCTGAAAAGGTGGTCTCTTTAGGTTTGTGCCTAAAAAGGTGGTCTCTTAAGCAGGTTTAACTGTATTCAAAAGTCTGCGGTACTTTTGTGTTAACGCAATGTGACTAGAATCATTAAGGAAGCTCAATTTAACATATTCTAGAAAAAATATGCAAGTTTATAACAAATGTTCAGGCCATAGAATGCGACAAGAGGAACATCCCAATTTAGAAAAGGAAAATTTATCTGTATATATACTTTTATAAAAGTAGCTGATTTTCCATTTTGAAGTAATTACAGTCATTGTTAATCTGATTGAAATACATATTCGTTCTCTATGCTTCGTTTACAAGGAAAGCGTGGTCACAGGATTGAGACACTGTGAAGTACTTGTTGGAAATACAAAAAAAAAAAAAAAAAAATGGAACTTCGAATAATTAAGGATTCAATCAATTCAAATTTTATCGGAGATCTAGGAGATGGTTTACATTGATGTGAATCATTTCTGGAAGGATGCTTGAAGCAAGTTATGTCTTAACGTGAATTCATCAGGGGTGGCTGGACCAGAGACGTATCTTAGTTAGAAGCAAGTTTCATATATACGCAATTTTTTTTCGGTTACCTATTTAATCATACAACATTGCGGCTATCTTTCTTGCAAATTGAGGAGGTCAGTTTGCCAATCTTGCATCTGTTTAAGAACTTCGAAAGTCGCCTTGTTACATTTCCAGTGAGAAGTCATATCATGCAATTGCATGTGCTACAGGCAAAAATTAACTGATTATTGGTACAAATAATTTCATAGCCTATGTTCAAGTTCATAGCGTCTTGTGTACTCGGTACAGGTTACAGTCCCTGTTTAAAACCACAGATTATCTGTATTTTTCAGCCTGGGATAAAACAATAAAATACAAAAACAAAAAAAAAAACAAAAAAAAAAAGTCTTGCGTCAAGAGATTTTAATATGAAAAATAAGGAGTTGTGCTATGAATGCCAATAAGACAACTCTGCAACAGTGTTTTCTGTAACAGTGACAGCATCAATACTGTCTATTGACATGGATTGTGTGTAGAATCATATTCCTCTACCCGGCGTTCATGGGTACTGTCGATGCAGTCAATGACACCGTGAACAAATACGTTTTACAAATTGAGATAGGTAAACAAATTTAAAAAAAAAACGTAATTTAATATCTAATTGTGCATTAGGGTTTTTGGTTTACATAATATGTAATAAAATTGTCAAGAATCTGAAGCATTGATTGCTTATTGCCTTAATTTCGTTGCCTATTACTTCGAAACTTGGAATACTTTGGTGCAAAGGTTGATCTTTTTTAATATACTTAGTAATTTTCGTCCTTCAACTATTGAAGCGTAATAGCGCAAGTATTCAATGGAGTGGACAAATAAGTGCGAAATTTTCACACGAAATGTCCGTCGGGGATTTTGCTTTTATATGAAACGGCCTTTTTCTTTGACACAAAAAAAGCGAAAATAGTAATAGAAAATAAACATCTAAAAGTAAATGTGTTTAAGCATGACACCATTAAACTTGAAAACATTATCTATAGTAGCAAAAAAGAAGTAAATCGAAATATTTCTTGAGTGCTAACTAGGAATTAATGACCGTGATAAGTTCCGTGTTAAACTTGCAGTTTTTAATTTAAAATCAATAATATAACAGCAAAATCTTCATCGTCAATAACTTTAGAAATTTCTATACAAGTTGTGTAAGATTTTTTTTTTTATCAGCAATAACTTTAATGATTTTAATATGTTTACTGTACAATTGGTTATGTAGTAGAGAATTGATAAGAAGTAGTGGATTCGTAAACGATAATCAACGAGCGACTTTAGTCGCAAGTTGATTATCGTTTCCGAACCCACTACTTCTTATCAATTCTCTAGCTTAACCCATTTCTAGTAAAACGACTGTCTGTTTTACGTTTTGACAATGAATCAACAATATTTCATAAAAAAAGTTTGGTATTTTGTCTTTTTTATTCTATAATAGCTGGAAATGAATATATCCACACGGTTCGCATCTATATTTAGGCATTTGACAAGTTAACATAAGTTTAATATAACTTAAAGGGGGTGTTAGCTCCCCTTTTTAATACCAGATTTTATTTTTGTATATACATATTTCATTTAATCTTTAATCATTACAAATTATTTAAATTAAATAGATTTTGGTATATTTAATTTATTCAAAAAGACATATATTGATATACAGAATTTATTTATCTTGTTTTGAAAAGTTAAAAAATTTTAATTACCAAAATTTAGAATCTTCAAAATTTATATACATAATATTTAGCAACGTGACTTGGTATAATGAAATCGTAACACCATTATGTCGTTCCTAGTCAATTAAATATTATTAGCGTATATGCCATAAATCTGCCATTTCATAATTCATATTGCTGTTTAAAGTATTAAAATTATGTGCTTACGATTTAAATTGAACAATTATATTTAAGGTAGATAGGGTGTCTTCCTCCATCTTGGATTTTGAAATACCAGAAAATAATCGGTCTAGACCTGTAATAAAATGTGCAAATTTCGAGAGTAGTGGGTAATTCATATGTAAGAATTTACATTTTAATATAGAAAATGACATGTTTAATTATATTTATGGTTGTATTTTACAAAAAACAGAATACTTTTGTTTGATTCAATTTTTTCTAACTTTGCCACATAAGGGGAGGCAACTCAAATGTAAGGGCAGATAATTCAAATATTGTTACTTTTACAATAGAATGTGTTAGGAATTTATATATTTTATTATGTAGCAAGAAAACGGGCCCGGTGACCCCATTTTTTCTTTTTCTTATCTGAAAGTATAATATTAGAGCTATCTTCTCATGTTTTATCTCAAAATTCTATGGTGCAGTTTTCGTTTTATGGCAGAAAATTGCGTTTTCCATGCATTATCTATACAAAATCTGTCAATTTTGCACAACCTGTAGCGTGAAAATAAGCCCGTGACCCATTCTTTTTATTATTTTTTCCAAAAAAGCATGATATAAACTACATTTTGGCAAATTATTAAAAAATTCTATGGATTATAATTTAGACACCCCATCTACCTTAAATTTTGTTTAAACTGTTTCCGTTTCATTTAAGTTAAGATTATTTTAGCGTTATTACATTTGGTAATATCGTTCACCGGTCAGTAAAATAGTTTTTTCTGTGGTACGCATTCTGAATCCACATCAGAATTGCTCTTGCTACGGATGTACAATGAATAATTATGTTGATGTCATAAACTTACCATCAAGATGTGCATAGCCGTGATCGTCTAGTCGTTGATAACGAATGTCATAACGGTGATATTAACAGTGCAAAGTTCGAACCTTGTACGCGGAATGAATTTTTTTCCTTGTAATTTTTTTTTCTGGACCAAAATATTGTTTTAATCCTAGAACATGTAGAAGTATCATATATTTCATTTTCATATAATGGCAATGATTTTGTTCTGTTTTTATTGTCAAAGAAGTAGTTTTAACCCGTTTCTTAAAAAAAAAAAATAACACCCAAAATAAAACAAATTCAATAAACATGAACAAACCAAGATATATATATTTCATTAGATTACAAAAGCGAATTATCAATGAGACAGAAATACAGTTAAATGACATGTATTGACAAGTAAGCGCTTTAAGAGTACTATTTATATATTGATTGATGTCAGCCATCGTGGTCTAGTGGTATCATGCATAGACTGAAGACTGTATTGATACGAAGAAAATACGCGCGGGTTCGAATCCTACACATGCCACTCGTTTTTGAGAGGATAAAAGATCGTAAGTTAAAAGGTTAAAGTTATAATATAAGTTCTCTTAAGTTAATACTATGGTCAGTGGATTCTTGAAAAATAATCTACAGCCAGAACAATAGACTGACGTCAGAGAAATGGGTTAAACATGTGTATTTATATCAGTGTACAAGCAAGTAAAGTTTATGTCTATATTTTACATGTAACGAAAAAAATGCGATATCTTTAAACAACTTAAAATTGTAAAATTTTATAGATTAAATGCAAATGAAAATCTAAACTGACAATGATAAAAGATGATTATTCAAAAATAAGATTTTTTTGAAGAAAATGTTAGCATAAAAGTTCATATAAACATATAAGCTGAAAAAGGTCAATTACAAAGTTACAAAAATAATACGGAATTAATTCTTTTGATGGAAAATATGAATCTGTAAAGATAGGGGGACATAAAGTAGACGTATGTATGTTGAATATAAGACCAGTTCTAGTCGTGTGCTATATGTGGAGATTAAAGTTCAAATTTTGACGACTTTTTGCCTATTTGTCACCGCACTAGTTCACCCTTCGGCATAAAAGCCATGCTAAAGAGCCATGCTAAAGAGGGGCGTGTGTGGGATGTTAATATCTGTACCTTCTTTTTCCAATGGCAGTCTGAATTTTGCACCTTCATCAGTCCCAGTAAACTCACTTTGCATAACTTAACCTTAACTATTGTTAATTTGTTCTGATACTAACGTTAAACATGTTGCATATACAAATGAACGTACATGTAGTGCATTCAATTTTGCAATTCTGCTAATAATACAGTAAAAGGTTGCAACTTCCTCAGGCAAACTTGACCGTTGACGATTTTAGCTGTTTTGTTTTGACCATTTTTTTATTTATGCTCTCTTTTTTTTGCCTTCCAAACTTTTAATATTGAGTGTACTCGATGAACACGTGTTCTGCGCACGGAAATCATATCATGCGTTTTAATTGGTGCTGGACTTTTGACTAACTTCTTATTTTGGTTAAGCAATTAACTCAACTATAATGCTTTATATCATGATTTGTTTTTCGTTGATTGTTTTTGTACATAAATCAGTTTGGTTTTCTTGTTTTCTTGTTTTACATTTTTTTCACATGTCGGGGACTTGCATAGCTTGCTATGATGTACCGGTATGATGGGTTTTGCACATTGTTCAAGGCCGTACGGTGACATATAGGTGCTAACATATACGTCATTTGGTTTCTGGTGGAAACTTGTCTCATCGCAATCTTACCACATCTTCCTATTTCTATATGAGATTTTAATTAAACAGACCGTTTAAAGGTTAAAATAATGCTCCAAACACGACTGGAATGATTCATTTGTTTGCTTTTCAAAACTGAAAGTTTGTTTACATGTTTCCTTTGGCCATTGCAGAGGATCGTGTTTTTCTAACTGTTCGTGATGATGTTGCTTCGCTTGAAATATTTTTCGGAAGTGTAGCTGCTGATGTTATATTGTAGGAAGATTTATAAATTGACAGATAAGATGCGTACGTTCTTTGACACGGTAATGTTTTATATGTACCTGCGAGTGTTTTGCCGTTTGTAATACCGAATTAAGTGTAATTTCTTAAATGATTTTATTGTATGTTCTTCTGTAAATTTATCGTGATAAAAAGGAGAGGACGGAGTGTAACAAAATTAGTCAGTTGTTCATTGGTCCTTCAAATAAAATTATTCTTAAAGGTTACCAATTTAATATCGTAGTAAAAGCTTTTAATATTTTTTATCAATCCTAACATTGATTTTGTTTGACTATACGGTATTGGTTTTGCTCATTGTTGAAGACCTATAATTGCTAACATCCACATGATATTTTTGAACTCTAGTGGATACGTATGTCATCGGCACTCATACCACATCTCCTTATTTCTATATTAACTCCGTAACATGTTAATGCCCTAAGTTAGGAACCTTGCCACTTACTGTCTCTATTTATTTTAAAAAACACCAAGACTTTGGCAAGGTTTGTGGGGATAACATAGGCTCTGGGTTGCGGCTCTATCTTAATTGACACAGGCTCTAAGAACTGTGCTTCCCTTATAGGGCTCCAGGCTCTGATAATAGGGCTCACATCTCCGGCGATATGGATCCAGGCTCAAGATACATGGGCGTCTGGCCCTTAAGGAACTGTGGAGCCCGTGTTATTACACCATTTGAAGGTTCCTGATTTGGGACATATGTCTTATTGGGATTTTCCTGTAAAAATAGGGAGTTAATGGCAAATTTATAGTTTTCTCTATTGAATATATTCACAACTTGTGTAGCCTCGGGTCGATGTAGAGCTTGGGATATAATATATACTAGTACACAGGTCAAATAACAAGATCGTATGTTGACGGTATTTCTCGGCTTTTTCATATAGCACGAAGCTAATAATAGTGACCTATTTCAGCGACTCAACACTACTTCATTACATATCATTATCATTACATAGTAATCTGACCCCCCGCCATATAGAGCTTGATAATATCCTGTCTATTGTTGGGCACCGTATGATGACCTCTAGTTGTCTATGTGTTTTTTTCATGTCGTTTGGTTGATGTCTCTTTGAAATATGTCTAAATCTATTTCAGTCCTTCTGGTTTTACTGTGTATTTTTGGCTGGGTGTGTCATTTAAGTATTATTTAAAACTCATTACATAAATATCGACAGTATGGAAAAGTTAGGCAAGTTAATACTAATTCCCGCGTCATTAATTTTCCAAGAACACATTAAAGTTGATATTTTTTCATACAAAACTATTATAAAAGTTGTGTATTTATAACTTTACATTTATTATACCGGTATTCAATCTTTATTATAGGCTATCATCCATGATTAAAAACAGTATGTGGATTATGAACCACAACGATACAACTTTCATTCAAATATTTATTATGCTGTTTGTACAAGATTCATCATATAACAATATAAAAACATTCAATCTTTTTAACAGTGAATTTTGTGATTGTAGGGGAAATAATGAAGGCGTATCATAATGATTGAGTTTGAAATTGAACACGAGGAAAGGCCAAGACACCGACTGGAAATAAAGAAAAGGGGACACTTGGACAACATTAGAGAGGGGTGAGTTAAGAAGATGTAAGCTTAGGGAGTGACGGTAACATTGTAGGAAAAGGTATATAAATAAAACTAATATTTGGGGCCTAGGTACTAGTATAGCGACAACCAGTTACGATTCCTTGATGAGATTTAGCACATTCAGTAATAGAAAAAGTGCCACACAGATAATAAGGTTCGGCAAACAGCATTGGGATTCATGGTAGGGGACGTAAAGGGCATACATATGTCAACCCTTTGATTTGAAATTATTTCATTTTAAGTAAAAAAATCATCTTAATTATTTTTCTTTCGTTTCGTTCCAAATTGCGGTATATTTTCTGAAAAAAAATCTTTCAAAAACCTTTGATCCGCCCCTGAACAGAGTCATTTTAATACGTTTATAATTAATAGTCTTATATTTTTGGGATAATACATGGGACGGCTTCCAATCTGAAAATTGTCAAATTCGGACTGAACCTTTATTTGGGTTTCTATCATTGTTCTAAAATGACAAAACGATTCCAGCATACTGTTAGTGAAGAGAATCATTTACCTAAAAATTGTCTTCTTTTCATATGTTCAAGGGCGTCTATTCTGGAACCACAAATGAAATGTTTAAATTCAAACTCGACCTATGATCAGGGATTCCTAATATTATGGTTTCAACCGCGATTTTCGTAAAGCATACTCAGCGGAAACCTTAAAAGTTTATTTTCTGCAATATGAAGGTTCATAAATCTGAAACAAATGTTTTTTTTTAAAAAGGTCAAAGATAGCTAAAAACTACAATTTTGACATTTATCAAAAATGAATAAGAACATTCTTAACCAAAACCAAAATTCATTCAGAAGTAAAGCTTTGTATTGTCTTTCAGATATAAAGTAAGTCGGTTTGTTTTATTGATTGATTATCTTTATTTCCTCCATATATGAAGATTTTACAATTTATATTATACGATCAACATCACACACATTACACAAACATAATTACATATTATAAACAACATCTAAGTATAACATCAATCAAGAAGGAAAACATGTATTTACATATAGGAAATACCTTAAAAAAATGTCTCTTCGTCGCCAATTTTACATATAGGAAATACCTTAAAAAAATGTCTCTTCGTCGCCAATTTTTGTGATCTATAGTCTAAACATATAAACTGCTATGCGTTACATCAAGAAGCTCCACTCATCAACATTCAGGGTTTGCGTGGTCTAAGTGAGAAACTCGTCTTCAATATCGATATGCAGCGCTGAATAATATTTTTCAAATCAGGAGTCCAAATATGTTATTTAAACAATGTATGTAACTGCAATGCTTAATTTTGTTGTAATTGTGAACGTTTAATTTGTAGACCTTATATAACACACAACGTATTGATAACGCATGCTGATTTCCTGAAGTCTACCAACAAAGACAAAGACTTAACATTGTACAGAATATTTCCCACCGGTGGCGGATATAACTATATTGGGGATATTGTTGCCTTGGTAACGTGGTACTTTGTGGTAGTCTTCATTGTTGCTTCAATACCCGTGAGTATTGAACAATATTACCGATATAAGATGATACTTTGCAACTTTTTTCATTATTTCTGCTTTTCCATGAGTATAGTGTTATTACCATTATAACATGGTACATAGTTGTATTTTTATCCCATTATTATACCCTTTAATACCAGTGTTTTTTAAGGTAGTAGTCAGCATAATAAGCTGCAATTGCAGTTAGCATATTGGTTTTACATGTGCGTCGTATTAATCTTTATTACTGCGGCAATACTGATATTAATTTTTAAAAAATTTATATGGTATAGATACTTTGCGTTTGTTTTTTATCACTTCAATATCAGTGTACAGTATAAAAATTAGATTCTACATTATTGTAAGCATACATATACCCCGGATGTAAAGTTTCAGAGTTTCCTGTATTTTTTACCTTGTGGATAACGTCTGCTTGTTTACTTTTTTTTTTCATGTGTGCAAGTTTAGATATATGCATTTTAAATAACTTTTACTGCCGTAGCATTAAGTTTATGAATTATTTCAGAGTATGTCATTGTTCATTTTCCGATAATCCTAAATGTGATCTTTGCTTGTTCTTTTTTATAAGCAGTATTCATAAGTCAATATTTATCAAAGTGCAGACATCTTATACGTTCAAGTATTTCACATCCAATTTTTAACCGGATTTTTGTGTCAAAAATGTCGGTTATTGATTTCGGGATGTACGGCGGGCGGTCGGTCGGTCGGTCGGTCGGGCGGGCGGGCGGGCGGGCGGGCGGGCGGCAACCAAATGTTGTCCGTGCATTTACTCATGAACCATTCAACCAAACCTTTAAAAATTTTAATATGTTGTTACTGACAACAAAATGGAGGTCAAGTTTAATAATGACGATTTTGACTTTTACCGTTCAGGAGTTACGGTTCTTGAAAGTTTAAAAAATGTCGTGTCCGTGCATTTACTCATGAACCGTTCAACCAAACCTTTTTAAATTTTAATATGTTGTTACTGACAACAAAATGGAGGTCAAGTTCAATAATGACGATTTTGACTTTTACCGTTCAGGAGTTACGGTTCTTGAAAGTTTAAAAAATGTCGTGTCCGTGCATTTACTCATGAACTGTTCAACCAAACCTTTTTAAATTTTAACATGTTGTTACTGACAACAAAATGGAGGTCAAGTTCAATAATGACGATTTTGACTTTTACCGTTCAGGAGTTACGGTTCTTGAAAGTTTAAAAAATGTCGTGTCCGTGCATTTACTCATGAACCGTTCAACCAAACCTTTTTAAATTTTAATATGTTGTTACTGACAACAAAATGGAGGTCAAGTTCAATAATGACGATTTTGACTTTTACCGTTCAGGAGTTACGGTTCTTGAAAGTTTAAAAAATGTCGTGTCCGTGCATTTACTCATGAACTGTTCAACCAAACCTTTTTAAATTTTAACATGTTGTTACTGACAACAAAATGGAGGTCAAGTTCAATAATGACGATTTTGACTTTTACCGTTCAGGAGTTACGGTTCTTGAAAGTTTAAAAAATGTCGTGTCCGTGCATTTACTCATGAACTGTTCAACCAAACCTTTTTAAATTTTAATATGTTGTTACTGACAACAAAATGGAGGTCAAGTTCAATAATCACGATTTTGACTTGTACCATTCAGGAGTTACGGTTCTTGAAAGTTTAAAAATTGTCGTGTCCGTGCATTTACTCATGAACCGTTCAACCAAACCTTTCGGTTCTTGAAAGATTGAAAAATTGTGTTACCTGAGTATTATTGGCAGATTATACAACAGAAATGGGATTCATTACCTTTAGAAGCATTCTATGATTGATAAAGGTAATACTATTTTTTTATTTTCTTTTTACTGTGCTTGCAATCTCCATCGTGGCACCTTGTACAGTTTGAGATTTAAACAAATTTCCTTCAATGGTAATTGTGTGTATTTCTGCATGACTGATGGATTTTGGCCTTAAACATTAAATCTCAGGCTTTACTGAATGTGATACTTTGCCTTCTTTCCTGCTTAATATTCAAATTTCATCAGATATATAAATAACTATAGTCACTATTCACTATTTTATTTACACTTGCATGCATAAATGTTATATACAATGCTATCACATGTGCCAGGTATCACATTGCATGGTTAAGTCTCAATATGTAGTTTTAATTGTATTGCATATTTAGATCCTCCTCGTGGTAAGGTGCTGGTAACACTGATTCACCTTCACATTCATATATAAAAAAAAATTAAGAAATTGTAATGTTAACTTTACTTCAGCTTTGTTAGAAATAGCTATATATATATAGTATTATTTTATTAGAATGTGCATCACTGGCCAAATTAACCATGCTTTATATGTCTTTATATGTCTTAACATTTTTTTTTATTTCTTACCTGTTTAGAAATGAATGACATCACTTCACCTGTCAAGCTTATATTATCCAACCATGCTTTATTTCAACCATCATCATACTTTAAATTTTATTGTAACATATGAACATGTATACTGTTTCTCATTTAGCACTTTCACATATTTTGTTTGCAATACATGTATTGTCATGCACTTGGCATAATCATTATAAAATATATTAAATTCTGGTTCTGAATTTTAATAAATGTAACACTGTTGATTACATTAGCTTGACAGATGTAGATTGTTCCTGCTGCAAATGGACAAATATAATGGTTTATTTCTTTTATACAGTGGATCATAATAACTGGAGTTATACAGATGTATATTCCTCTACAAATGCAGATACTGAAGGGATTAGTCTGCAAATTACACACACTTTAATGGCTCTAGTGAGCTGGTTTTTCATGGCATCAGATGCTGGTTATTTTAGCTCACCTAGCCAATCACTAGTATAAGCCTTTTTCATCACTTTGACTCTGTTTTATGTTTGTTCATTTGTATACATCCATCTGTTTATATTTCACATTTATATCTCCTTTCCTAAACTGATTTGTCAATTTCAACCAAGTTCTGAATCAAACCATGTAATAATGGCACTTAAAAGACATTGAATAAGAAAATATTAATTATTACAATACCTGAATATAGTGATTTCCCATGTGAGCAATTCAGGGTTCTTGTAGTTTATAGTGATATAAGGCAATTTGTATGCCCCCTATGGCCCTATCACAGCAGGGTTGTTGCACTCAAATAAAATTACTTTAATTCATTTTTCTTTATTCAGATAATGGAAAGGGTGAATAATATTAAAAAGTCTGCCACCAAAGCAAAAGGGGTATCACTGCAAATAGTAGGCATGCTTTTCAAAGTAAAGAAAAATGGGAAAGTTTCAGAAGAGCATATGAATACTGTCAGTGATTTGACAGATGAAATCACAACTTTGATGGACGATGTAAATCATAATGCTGATTCAGTTAAAACCAATTTAACTAAAACTGATGAAGAGTTAAAGGAGACTCAAAAGAAAATTGAGGGTTTGAGGAATGAAAACCTAAGTTTAAGGAAAATAAATTCTCAGGCAAGACGTGACCAATATGAGGCACAAGATGAATGCAAAAAGTTGAAAAGAGACTTTGATTCTAGCCAGGAAGTTCTTCATGCAATGTCGTTTGATGAAGACATGGATGATTTAAATAATTCAGCTGCTGCACAACCACCATCCAATACAGACTCACAATAATTGATTATCACAAACTTTTTGTACTAATTTAATTGTTGTATATGCATATATATGTAAATCTGATGTTTTTTATGAATCATCATTATCTTTTTTTCTTGTATACTGTTTGGACAGAAATTTTATTTAACATTTAAATTGTATTTATTTTCACTGTCTTATGTATAATTTAAGTAATAAAGTTTTTTTTTTTTTTAGATATGCAACATTGAAACACATCAAAATGCCTAAGCAGAACAAAAAATCACCCAGTCAGAAGAATAGGGAAGACAAGCTACGGAAGAGGCTTGAACGTCATGTATGTATTATATATATAGTATAGGGTATATATATATTTGTTTAGGGGCCAGCTGAAGGACGCCTCCGGGTGCGAGAATTCCTCGCTGCATTGAAGACCTGTTGGTGAGCTTCTGCTGTTGTCTGCTCTATAGTCCGGTTGTTGTCTCTTTGACACATTCCCCATTTCCATTCTCAATTTTATTAATTCAGAAATTGTTTATCAAAATCAAATTCTCTCTCTTTAAACTGACAGAAACTAATTATACTTATTCTTGTGACATTGCATCTGGCATTAGGCTATTTTTTTCTCTTATTTTTCACTAATAATACTTAATCATGTGACAATGTATCTGGCTTAGGCTATATTTTTTCTTCACTTTTCACAGAAACTAGGTACAGAGGAATCCAAAGACATTCCAAGACCAGCATCTCAACAACTATTTACTGTGGCCAATCCCAACTCACAAATTCAACAGCCAACAACTTCTAAAATTGACAGTCAAAAGGTTAGTACAGTTCATATACAATTTAAACCAGGACTTACAGTGGCAAAAAGACAGAAAAGATACTGCAGTAAAAAAAGAGAGAAAAACTAATAAAACAAAAGAACAAAAGAATAAATGCGACAAGAAAAAAAAGAAAAAAATAGACGGGGTATACAAAATTATGTTGTACTATATATTGTCTATCATTACAGTTCCCTCAACTAAATGAATCACAAGAGTTTTTTGTTTATCTTTTCAGAAAAAGAGAAAAATTCAGGATACTGACATTCCAAGACCAGCATCTCAACAACTATTTACTGTGGCCAATCCCAACTCACAAATTCAACAGCCAACAACTTCTAAAATTGACAGTCAAAAGGTTAGTACAGTTCATATACAATTTAAACCTGGACTTACAGTGACAAAAAGACAGAAAAGATACTGCAGTAAAAAAAGAGAGAGAAACTATTAAAACAAATGAACAAAAGAATAAATGCGACAAGAAAAAAAAAAGAAAAAAATAGAGGGGTATACAAAATTATGTTGTTCTATATATTGTCTATCATTACAGTTCCCTCAACTAAATGAATCACAAGATTTTTTTGTT